TTTTATCGATAAATAAAACGTAATTAATGTTAACTTTTATCAACAGATTGATATACCATCGGTAGTATAGAGAATTTTTCTATTAGCGCTTTCTTTCATCACACAATGGTAAGAGAGGATTTGAAAGCACACTTATTTTACTGTATTTTAGTGAAAAGATCATCTAGATCTTCGAACATGATTTCTGATGACTGAAAATTTGACAATGTTATTTGTGTTAATTCTGTAAATGAAAAAGAATGAGAATTGATTGACAGCTACTAATTTACCAATATGCATGCTATTTGTTTGTGTACACGTGTACATGTATCACTGTCACATATTATAAAGAAAAAATGAGGACTAATATTATTTTTTGCTTAATGTTACATATCGATTGAATAAAACAAACTTTTTTAAATTTTTCTTTCATATTGTCTGAAATGATAGGTAAATTTATTAATGAAATATTATATAGAGCTATTAACTAAATATATGTGAGGAAAATAGAAAAAATTATTTTTTTGTTTTTTCTATTGTTTCTCTCTCTCTCTTTCTCCAACTGTTCAACCCAATCACTGTCACACTATATATTATTTACCAACAGATGGAGAAAAAGTAAATTAATGCCACTTATCGTTCCTATAACCGCAAGAAAAGTATCAGTTTCTTTCCTCCTCTACGACGTATTGTCTTTATTCTCCCTGCATTGTCACCAGAAAAAAAACGAAAAGAAAACAACAATAATGATGATTCCTTTTTATTCGATATCCCTGTACACATACGTGTTTATACTTTACGTTTAGACAGAAGAAGAAAAAAAGCAGACCTTCCTATGATTATTTGACAATAAAGAAATATGAAGAAGTTTACTAAAAACAGAAAAACAGAAAAATAGCGAAATTGCTCTTTTTCAAAACAAAAGAGTGTTGAGGAATTTGTATCAGCCTAAGATTATGATAAAGGTGGTGAAGTGACCTCATAATGAAATTAAGATAATGGTCAGTGTGTGTTCACAGAAAGATCGTGATGATGGACAAGTAAGCGTCTAGGAAAATTGAGTACGAACAAGTTCTGCAGACATGTGGATTTTATTAAAGTGTTACTCGTTTTCTCTCAAAAATCCTCGATGGTCTGGTCACTGTTATTTTTTTCTGTTGTGTTCACTATCAACGATGATCAATAGATCGTCGTCACTCTAATAACATTGACAAAGTATTTAAAAAACATAATATTTAATAACATTACTTTTCTAACAGTAAATAAATTCTTCTTATAATCATTTCTTTATTTTATTGTAAAATTTATTTATAAATAACGGGTGGGTCTGAATAAATGGGACAAAATCATTTTCTTTTTCTAGTCGCTTAAGTGTACTTTGAAGACTTCGTTCTATGCTTACTTAATCGATGGAGAATTTTTCGCTCTGCAAAATCCATTATCTTCTTTCATTACATGTTATTTCATTATTTAAAAACATAGTAGAGTAAGGACAGGTAAGAAGTACAACTGCAACGGAAGAAACAAGTTGTAATTTTTTTTTGCACTCGACCTAATTGGTTATTTAATCACGTTTCTGTTTGCTATTCATCACAGATACTTTGCGTAAAGAATGTATCTTCATTTTAATTAATCCACATTGAAAAATAAGAATTTTCCTGACATTTTGTCACTAATAACGGATGGTCTTAAAATGATGAGGTTATTTATGTATGTACTTTTGTCTGTATACCGTATAGTTCCAAGAGGTCATTCTGACTTCAGAAAAGAGAGGATTTTCTGTTCTACAAAACTTCTACATCGTAGACTTACACTGCGTGGTTAGTCGTACCAACGTTTCCTGCTTATTTCAAAATCTCGCATTGCCCGAAAGTGCTAATTAACTTGTGCACTGAAATTATCACAATTTTGTTGATTAAATGAAGAAGTAACATAGTCTGGATGATAGTCCTAAATCCACTGAATATTTTATGTACTCTCTTTTCTCAATTACTACATTATTTCTAGCAAAATTACATAAAAAAGCCGAAAAGCCACCAAAATTTGGATAGTAAATCGTAGTTGTGCGTCTTATTCTGCACGATTATTTTAAATCATGAAATAATATGCAATAAAAGAAGGTAATCGGTTTTGTTGAGCAATAAATTTTCTATCGATTAAGCAAGCATAGAACGAAGTCTTCAAAGTACACTTAAGCGACTAGAAAAAGAAAATGATTTTGTCCCATTTATTCAGACCCACCCGTTATTCAGAAGAAATTGATTATTGTAAAGCAGAAAACGGTTCATTTTGTAGAAAATACTCATCATGCGAGAATATTTTACTTTCTTGAAGTCGATGTAATAGCAACCATATGATGCCATACAAATGAATGAAAGAGTAGAGTTGTCAGCATTGTTCATATAGAAAACATGTAATAACACATTTTTCTTTCTTTCTTATTGTTCAATTCGATTGTTCTATTTCCTACTGTGTTCAAACCTGTGAGATGTAATAATCAATTTTTTATGTAAGAAAAATTCGATGATGGATGAAGCACCAGTTTTGTTTTTCTTCGACAGACTTTCTCTCTATCTATGTATGGGTGTGTGTATGTATTTGTACCGGAAGTTAAATGTGCGTGATAAAATAAGCAATATGTTGAAGATGATCGTTATTTTGAATATAAAGTGAGTGGTTTTCGTCAGATTGAATAAAAAAATAAATAAATGTAAAAGTTTTATTATTATTACTTTAGACTGTTTGGAGATTATTCTTTTAATCATGATAATCATCATCTTTTGTTGACAGTCAGATTTTCAACTAAAAATGACTCATAATACGATCGATCATAATGTGTCATATGTTAATCTTATTGTGAAAAATATATCACTTTTATAAAGAAATGAAAGAGTCTTTGTTACTTATAAACTTGGTTTTTATGATAAGTACGTATTAGTTGAAGTCAGTACATTCTGTTGTATACGGGTAAAAATTTCTTCTTATATTAAATAAGTTTTAATATTAATTAGTTACACTTTTCTAAAAATGAGTCATTGTTTTTGCTGTTGTCATTCAGTGAACAGAATTACACTAAAGTGAAGCGTAACTTAAAGTGTTCAACAACGAAACACAAAAAAAAAAATAGAAACTTTTTTCTCTTCTCTTGAGAACACAATGACTTTCTTTTGAACAGTTATATATATTTTCTATCTCAAAAAAACAAAAAAAAAACAAAAAAAAACAAAAAAAAATGAGAAGAACAACAAGAGATCTCGATTGTTTTGAAATTCAGGGTTTTCCATTATAACTGTCTGTGTTAGTTATTAAAAAACACGAAGAAAAGAATTCCATAGAAACACATAAAGAATAAGAAAAGAAGAAAAAAAATAGAATATCCGATTTTTGTTTATATTTTAATAAAAAACTATGTTGCCCGGACAAAAAATAAAATAATTTTGAGAGAAAAAAATATGAAAAACAGATTAAAAAAACCTGCTGTGTTTTTTTTTGTTTTTTTTTTTTCTTCAAAAATTATGAATAATATATAGATCTAAAGATAGGTGAGAGCACAAGAGAGAAAAGTGAGAGAAAGAGAAAAAAAAAAAGAAATCAAATTAATAAAAAGAGACATTTTCAAAATAGAAAAATAAATATAATTTTTGAATTTATTTCTTTATGTGTGTAATATAAATGTATGAACAATAGTAGAAGCCAGCAGCATAAAAGAAGATTAATAATTTGTTCTTTTTTGTGTACATGTAATGACTCTGCATCCAAATTGATTATATTTCAAACGGAAACGGTAATTATGCTATATATCAAGGTTTTGAAGAAGAAGAAGAAAAAAAATCTATCAGCTGTTCAATGTTTTTTGGTCGAGACAAAAAAAATATCCTCGTTGTTAAAAGCTGATGACAATTATGTATCTAGATGTACAATTATTTCTGAACGTAGACACAGGAAAACGAGTCAACCATATCATATATTGAATAAGTAAATATAACGTATAATAAAAACGAAATAATAAAAAGGTACTACCCTATCCGTACATCTATATTCCCAATAAACTTGTGTGTGTCGTGAAATTTTTTCTTCTCTCATGCAGACAATACCTTTTTTCTTTTTTCTCATAATAATATGTATCATATACAGCTGGCATTAAAACAGAACACGGGTAAACGGGCACGTTTATTCGCATGCATGTTAATAGTTCAAGGTTCTATGGATTTTTTTTCTTCTTTTGTATACATTTAACACCAGACATTTTTATTTTCTGAATAGTTAGTAGAGTTGAAGGAAATACTGACGACTTGTCTGAACTTACAAGAATGAAGGAAATATGAAAAAAAAAATGTTTTTTTCATTACCATTTTGACTTAACCATTGTGAATTTTTGTTTCATTGTATAATCGATCAGCTTAGCTCGTTGATAAGACAGATGTGTAAATAAAAATTTTAGCTAAAAGATTGTTTAAACTAGTAGAAGAATCAGTAAGATCAAAGCATATTTCTTACCAAAACCTGATATGTCCATTTCATTGTAAAAAATAATATGAATTTATGGAAAATCTTTTATTGTTGTACGTATTCATTGGCATACTAATTCTAATGAAACTCTTTTACAATTTATAATTTATTCATTTTCGTAAAAAGTTGATTGTTTTTTAATATTTTGTCCTACAGAAGACATTCAAATTTTTAATATTTGTCTAGTGAAGATTAATGAAAATTTTCTAACTGTCAACTGGAAGTGTTCACTAAAGTACAGAAATATTTTTGCTCAAAAATTCTGTACAATACCTATTTGATAGTTTTTCTATTTTAGTTTATATCTTTTGTTTCTTTCACGATTTTATCTGTTTCAGGTTTGAAATGATTAATAAAACTAATTAACAATAACAATAAAAACGATTCTTCTTTTTTATTTAAATTATTTCGGTTTCTTTCGTTATTATCGAAAAAAAGTTTCTTCATTTATAGTTGATGTAACAACTTTTACTTTAATTTTATCATAAAGCCTACTTAGGCTAATAGTGCCGATGTGTTCGATAATAGAGATAAAACCTAGACGAGTTACGGTTTCGTGTAAACAACTTTTTAATGATAATGAATCATCATCTTCAAAACTAACAGTAACATCTCCATCGTATTCAAAAGTATTATCTTCGTCAATGTCCACAACAAGTTCATCTAATCGTCAACAAACTGCCTCGTATCAAGGTTATTATAACAATGACACAACATCCTATTGTCCATCCTACAATAATAACGATGAATTGTACTATCCGAAACGAAATAATAATTTCAATTATTCACATGAAACTCACTATCAACCATCACAAAAACATCGACCACAATCACATTTATACAATACAACGAATGATCAAACAGTTTACGATTTATCGTATAGAGATTTACATGTCGACACAATACCTTATCATAGTATGGACATATTGTTCAGTGAACTAGCCAATATTGATGAAAATGCAAAACAAAATAAAGCAACAACAACAATTTCAAAAACATCACTAAATCCATTAAGTCCAGCATTCCATAGCACGAGACAAACTGTATTAATATCAGAAAATTCATCAAGTTTGATGTAAGTATATTATATTAAACAAAAAGTGAAACAGAATTAAAAATAGATTTGATCTTAAGGTCAAACAGGCACAGATGCTTGTAATATAGATAGCCTTCTCCCGCTTTTTTTACTTCAAAGTCATCTATTACTTCTACCTTACTTTCATTTTAGAGCATTTATTTGCATTTCGGAAAGTTGTTACGCAGAAAAATCTTTAGGAAATTTGCTCTAGATTTTCAAAAAAACTTTCTTCATTTCCTATTTTTCGCCTCTGACTATGTCAGGCATTATTTGTCTTTTTATACAAACGTGATCCTGATGACTATTACTGACCCATCAACCTTCTCAAAAGCTAATCAGTTTTTTATTTTTTTTGTTTTAGTGATCAAAAATTTCATTATCAATCGGAAACATCAGATTATGGCACTGATCCAGAACAACAATACCATCACACAAACAATCATGAACCACTATTATCACCACCTTCTATAGTGAGATTATTAGACAATGATGTAATATCTCAGAAAAAACTTTCAACAGAAACAGTATTTAAATTTGATGTTTCAGAAACAAAAAATTCAGCATACACCAGTTTTTCGTCGTCTTCATCTGGATATCAAGAGGAACACGACTTCGACTCCATATCTTCATGCCGTCGCGTTTCATCTTCCAGTTCAATGTCGTCAAGTTGTTCTAGTTTATCGTCTAGTGAAACATATTCTAATTCTCAAAAATATTCAACATCAAAATCTTGTAAAATAAATATAAAACAACGAACAAACGATAAGTTCATTCTAACAAGTAGTAGTATGGATGAATCAAATTCTGATGAGGTTATTATAGATGAAAATGAACAACAAAATCAATGTTTTTGTGAAAAAGAAAATTATTCAAAAAAGAAGCAACAACAATTTCAACAACGTAAAAGTATTATACAACGAAAATTAGCATCATCATATCCATGTGAAAAATGTGAATCAAAGCGAAAATTAACATTTCGTTCACCAAAAAAATATTTATACGAAACAACGACGGAGAATTCGACAAGATGATTCGACTTCAATTAAAAATAATAATCACTATAATAAGCAAAGTCAATCTGACGAAGAAAATGAAAAACAACTACAGTCGGTATCCGTTTCTAATCAAAGGACATCTAAAAACTCTTCATCGTCTTCTTCCACGTCTAATGCAAAAAAAAAATTGCAAGTAATAAACGATGATCCATTCGATGTTTCAGTGAATAAAACTGATTTTTATGCTAATTTAACGGGCCGAAATATTCAGTTATCTATCGATTACCATGATTGTTCGTGCTTATCAAATAAATTATCTCAAGCAATCTCATATTCTTATTTATCCATAAATTTACCACCACAAGTGTATTCACAGCCACAACAATCGGCATTTTTCACTACACAAATAGCGCCCATCTTTCTCGCATCATCCGTCTTATCTACATGTCATTGTCAACAACAACTATTAACAAAAACACTTATTCCATGTTATTCACCGATAACGACAACAATCAATTACCTACCGTTTTCATCTTCAAATAGTTTGTTTCCAACTACGACTTGTTGTAAATGTTCGAGTAGTGTAGATTGTGTTGATTCCACAATAGTTATGAATAACGATGATATCATTCATAATAGACCCTATAATCATTACAATAATACAGAATATCATCAATATATGACATATGAAAATCATACGACAAATCAGAATAGCACAAAATTTTGTATTCCCTCAGAAAATTTATTCCATCATGATCTATATCTAACAACTGCTACACCATCTTCTATATGCATGGATATTGACATTTCAGAAAGTGTTAAAACTGCTCATGAACAGCAACAGTATTATTTAGGATGGGTTACACCCGTTATTGACAAAGAGTGTAAGTTAAATACCGGTATTCTGATCCTAATAAAAAAAATTACTTAACGTTAATAAATGCTTTATGCGTCGAGTCGACAGCATAGCTAGAAAATTTTACATTTTAATTGAATTTAGTTTTATTTTTTTTTAGCATTAGATTATTGTTCCTGTTTCCTCTCTTTTTGAAAACCCATGGCGAATTGTCTTTTGTCTTTTTAAACAAAAGATAAAAATACGTGTGTGTGCGTGTGAGTGTGTATGAATGGAATGTTTCCATTTTTATGTAGTATATTTCTATTATTTCTGTTTGTCTTTATTTAGTCCTTCAACCACCACCAACTCGTTCTTGGCTTCGTTTGTCATCGCCAAATGTTACTCAACCAACGGCTATATTTACTGTTATGAATTATAACATATTATGTGATAAATATGCTACAAGAAATGCTTATGGTTACTGTCCGAGTTGGGCATTGAAATGGGATTATCGTCGAAAACAGATTTTGGAAGAATTAAAAAACTATGCAGCAGATATCATTGCATTACAGGTATTTAAAAGAGGCTAGATGAATGATGTATTATTTAGACATAATAGACAACTTCGACAACAAAATATTCTTCTTATTGTAGGAAATTGAAATGGATCAATATCATGCATATTTTTTACCAGAATTAAAAAGTCTTGGTTATGATGGTGTATTTAGTCCAAAATCTCGTGCTCGCACAATGTGTGAAAGTGATCGACGTTTTGTTGATGGCTGTGCAATATTCTATAGAAAAACAAAGTATGCATATGTTACTCTTATTTAAATGAATTACTTTTCATTCATGAATTTAATACAACTGTATCTCATTATTATATCTTATCTTATTAGATTCCATTTAGTTGAAAATTATTTGGTTGAGTTTAACCAATTAGCAATGTCGGCAGCTAATGGTCTATCATCTCATGATATGCTTAATCGTGTTATGACGAAAGATAACATTGGCCTAGTAGCACTATTAGAGACAAACGAAGAAATATATTCTCATACATTTTCTAGTGGTATGTCTGAAAGGCGAATAAAAGAGTGTATAAATCCATCATCTATATTGTCCTTCATTCAATGATCGCTCACTTCTAGGTATGGTACCAGCCGATCATAAACAATTATTATTTGTTTGCACAGCTCATATACATTGGGATCCGGAATTTTGTGATGTTAAATTAGTTCAAACGTTAATGCTATTAAGTGAAATAAAGACAATTATGGAAGATGCTATTAAGACACATCGTCCAGCAATGGCAGCGCATAGTCCAATTGATTGTAATTCAATACCATTAGTATTATGCGGAGATTTTAATTCGTTACCAGATTCGGGTATTTAATAGTGATTGTTTGACTATTCTAATTTTTAATCGCTTTAAAGAGCAAGAGAGAATTTCGGTCTTAGTATTTTTCTCCTTGCAGTGACTGGGTAGAATTCATCAGTGTCTATTGTTAGGGTACAAGAGACACGCTTGAACTTTATTGTGTTTATCCTTTGTGTTGTTATCAGACAATAATCAAGTTGTTCTCATCTCTCGGTATTTAGTTTAGTGATGATGATAGTTAAGATGATGGAACTATTGTAGAGATGTGCAGCTAATGTTCTTTTCTTGTTTTCCTCTGATATTCAGTTATTTTCTGAGTAAAATACAACAGAAAAAGCTTAGAGATAAAAATTCACCTAAGAATCGCTATTTTTTAATAACAGTATATAATGAGGGAATATTGTAGTATGGCGGCAACAAAATCGTACTTTTTACGGTATGTTGTGATATGCTCTCTTGTGCCTTTGCAATGTTCGCGTAGCGCAGTTTTGCTCTAGTTATTATTGGTTTCTGTATTAGGTGTTATTGAATTGATGCGTAATGGACGTATATCATTATCACATGTTGATTTTAAAGAATTACAATATGAATCATGTTTACAAAAAATGAGTCGACATGAAGGTTCAACAGATTTAGTACATCATTTTAATTTTCAATCGGCATATGAAACTAATATAATGCCATACACAAATTATACGTACGTATTTACAATAGAAAAAGCTCTTGGTGCTGTGATTAGGACATTTAAATTTCTAAGAGAAAAACGAGTTATAAATCTCATTATAAGAGAAGGAACTTTTTGAGAATTATTTCGTATATCAGTTTACTATGATCTATCATGCACCGATCCTCCTAAAACAAGATTTATAATATAAAGTTTTCAAATTTTATTATGATTTTATAATCTTTTTAATTTAATAATTTTTATCTTATCTTTGTTTTAGGTATGACTTTAAAGGCATTATTGATTATGTATTTTACAGTAAGAAATTAATGCGTGTACTCGGTGTATTGGGACCATTAGATCCCGAATGGATTCGTTCAAATAAAATAATCGGCTGTAAGTATTCTTATAGTTAAATAAGCATGTTTTGATTGATTTTGTAATGAAAATAAAATTCCCATCTTTTTAACTCTTACGTTGAATCCAATCGTTTCATTCTGGAAATATTTAATCTCATCGTTCTCTTTTAGGTCCACATCCAAACGTACCATCCGATCATTTTTCGTTACTTGTCGAATTTGAGCTAAATCCATCTCTATCACTATCGACGTCAAGTTCAACTGGCATAACCTTACCATCATCTCCAATAACAACGTTAAGTCATAATACATCAAGTAATTTAAGACCACTGCTGTAATTTACCATCATTTTATGTCTTGTCACTCAAGACAAAAAGAAGAATTCTACTCAGGGTAACCATTGTGGACCGTGTTGAATTCGGTACAATTTCATTTTTTTCTTCTCTTCTTGTATAAAATAATTATTTTTGTGTTTCTTACTTTTCATATTTTCGAATTATCACATAAAATAGCTCATGTGTTGAATTTTGCTCTTGTTTCATCTTTCTTTTGAGCTTCAAAATACCCTTTTCTGTAATTTCTCTTGTCTGTTTGTACTTTCAGATTGAAAAATCCAAAAGTTTTTTTGTAAAGACGATCAACGTAGATACATACACACATACGTATACAAATATGTGTGTGAGTATGTGTAGCTTCGCTTATAAAGCCTTTTTAAGCTTCATGTTTCTTTGTTGTTTTTTTGTTTATTTTTTCTATTTCTCTTCTGTTGACATTCTTCTTGTTGTTCTACAACTGTTTTAATTTTTGTTTGTTTGTTGTTGTTGTTGTGTAGTTTTTTTTTCGTCATTCTCTTAACTGACTGGATGATGCAGAAATAAAAAATAGAAAGAAAAGTAAGGGTACGGCAGAAAGGCTAGCGATTTCCAATTAATCAACTGTCGTAAAAAAGAGACGTATTGTATGAGAAACGTGTCTCTCCTAAAACGACTGAATCAAATTTTGTGAAAACCAGTTCTTAAGAGTTCCATACAATACTCTTTTAAATGATCGTTTTAGTATAAATTAATTTTATTATCAGAGATACTATCAGTATCACTGTTTTTACGCATGCAATCAGACAGTCTGAATGGAAAGAAAACAGAAATAAGTTGTTTGGTTGTATTGTATGTATTTTTGTGCATGTATGTATTTTGTTGCTACGCAAACTTGATGGATCGCTTCACGAACTGTCAGAGAAAATATTCGTGTTTAAGAACCCCATTAAGCGATCTTTTAACATTTTTATTATCTCTTCCATTAGATCCATAAAAGCGAAGAATAAACGAATGATTATAGCTAGGGATGTTACGAACCCGAACCTACGTTCGAAGTTCGACTTCGAAGACGTTCGATGTCGAAGTGTTCGAGTTTCACAAAGCTCGGGTTCGCGTTCGGAAGTTCGAGTTCGACTTTAAATTAACGTTAATGCAGATTTAGCAGCAAGATTGGCTAGACACGACTCGTCGAAGACGCACGAAACTTTTTTGATACTGCAAGCCTTGAGCGGATATAATTTCTCACCTTCTGTCCCTAGTTTCATGGTGCTTAATGAATTAGTAGTGCCTCTAGGAATTAGTGTGCCACACAGGCTGCAACCTACAACAGTGGGCCGTTTTAAAACAATCTGGGTTAGTCTATATGATCATAATATTTAACCTTTTAAGATATTCTACATCTTTAGTCTATCATATATAACAGTCTTATATCAAACATTTATTTCTCCCTCATAGAGCAGACGTCCAGTTTAGACATGGTCGGGACCATCCCGACGGGACCCGGACCGGAACTAAAACTTTTTTTTCCGAGATCGAACTGGATCAACACTAGAACTAAGATGTGTTTCGGCAGTTGCATAAAATCAGCTAAAACTTGACCTGTTCTCTATACTAAAATAGAAATGTTGTGGAAAATCGTCCGGAAGTCTTACAATTCTTTCCCAGGCATTGAACTTCACATCTACGTCATGCAAACTTTATTAATAAAGTATTTTCTCCGGTACCATAAAAAGTTTTCTGGACCGGAACGAGACTGAAAAACCTTGGTGCCGCCCACACTACACATACATATCAGAACAAAAGAAATCTATGTTATTCACGCTTTTGTTTGCAACAAAAACTATTTTTGGAGTAAAAGTGCGAAAGTGAAAGGAAAACATCAATATGTGCAAAACTCGTGTTTAGGAGAGCATATAATAATTGTCTGATTATCTACTTTGCTTTGTTAAATATTTGATATCGAACGTCGAACTCGAAGGTTCGAACATGTTCGAAGTCAAACTCGAACCGAACCCGAACTTTTAAGAGGCGAACTCGAACGTCGAACTTTGCTCGAACCCGAACGTCGAACGTTCGGGTTCGTAACATCCCTAATTATAGCGTTGAAGATCTTCAGTTTTTCTTTCAATAATGTCGTACACTCTTCTAATTTGTGAAGACATTCGCATATTTGTTTAATAAAATCATCGTACAGCACATCAACAATCCAGGCCGCGGACTTAGCAATTGAATCATCTCAAATAATATCAGTCACAGCTTTTTGACGTGGGATTACATCTCAACGTCATATCGAGTCATATATGAAAGAAATCTGATCGTAATCAGTTAGCCATCGATGTTTCCATTGTAGGAGATTTCCTTATCGTAGTTTTGCTCATTGTTAATCAATTAATACAAATAAATTCGTAGCTATAGACGATTATCCGTTTACAGAAATAAACACATACAACCGTAGCTATGAAAACATGAAATTTTTTACCTATGAATTCACTGTGCTTAGATAAATCTCTAATGTAGACACTTATACACGGATAGATATATAGAGATTTTTAATTTAGAGCTAAATTTAAGATCCGTTCAGCCCTCATTTGGCGAGTGTCCAAAAATTAAAATGATATACTTTAAAGTTAGGTTCAGAAAGGTTCAAACACAACGGATTTAGAAACGATGTGCACGAACAATGTTGCGCACACCTTACGCACGAGGAATGTTCCGTACCGGAATCTTACACACCAGGTTGATACGCACGGGCGCTTGCGCGCGTATCACATAATGAGGCAGAAAGTCAAAGTGATGATGTTCTGTGATCAGAGCGTTGAGTGTAGCTATATTGCAAAAGAACTGATCTGATTACTTTGATTTCTATCTTCTGTCTGTTCTTCATCATCACTTTGACTTCTGCCTCATTATGTGATACATGCGCAAGCGTCCGTGCGTAACAACATGGTGCGTAAGATTCCTTGTGCGTAAGTTACCCGCGCACATCGTTCCTAAATCCGTTGTGTTTGCACCTTTTGAACCTAACTTTAAAGTACATTAACTTAAGTCTGTGCTTAGTGACCTTAAGAATACTGATGAAAGGACATCCAGTTCTTCAAATGTGTCGAATGAGTTATTGTTCTTATTACTTTTATAAAATAGAAATCGTTCCGTGCTAGAGATCTAGAGCTTCGAAAGTTAAGTCTATATGACACAAAAGTTTTAAATCGATTCATAGGTTGCGCATTGCATTTGTAGTTGGAACTCATTTCAATTACAGTCAGTTAATAATCTTGCACTGATTTTTTTACTGATTTTCTGCCAAACTTTTTCTGTCTATTGAATGTAATCTTACAGTAACAGCTGCGGCTATTGCTAGTTAAATTCTTTCTTTGCCTAGGAGATTTTTATTTTACATAAAACTATTTTAGTTTACTTTTAAATGCGTATAATTTATACAATCTGCTCCATACTTGAATACTCAAGTTTTTTTAATATTCATCCTCCTTGAATATGTACTAAAAATAAGATGACTGTTATTTGGGATAATTTTTCATACAGTCACTCATGCAAAATGTTTACAATTTGCCTAGAGTACATTTTTAGTCTACTAAATTTTACAGTAAGACAATAATCATTCTGCAATTTAAATCCGTAACTCTAAAGAGTCACCATCTTTTCCCAAGCATTCGATTTGCCTCAAATTTTATGTGTAACATTTCTAACCTTTCGTTGGCAAATAATAAAGTTCGATACCTGGACTATTTTTTTCTATAAAAGTACTTTTCACTTTTCTTGAAGCATCAAAAAACCTCATATTCAAAATTAATTAAAAGTCAATAAAAAAACCTGTCAAAGCTTTCTCATAACTTTTCTCGGCCTAATAAAAGAATCATGAAATTAAAATTCAAGTATTGAATCTAAACCTGTACTGTTAGGTATTAACAATAAATTGTTCAGTTTGAACTCAAAGTTAGGAGAAAACAAAAATTTTCTATAAATCGTTTCTATCTAATGAGTCTTTCCATATATTCCTTCCTTAATCTGACACATTCATTCATCAAAATGTCCATCTATGCATAATGCATGTTTTATAATTAGCATCTCAATCACTGGCAGGTCACCAGCAGAGCAATTGCCCTCCTGGAAAAAAATATCAAGGGCAATAAGCAGTACTGCCTGTGAAGAATTATATTTCGCAGCAGAGTATGTATCCGTAGTTCAAAATAAAGAAAGAGCAATTCTTGATCGAAAAATTTGATGTCCAGTTTAAATGCAGAAAAAGTGTATTAGCACGGACAAAAATTATGAAGGGAAGCACGTTTGTGCATGCACTCACTACTCTAAAAAATTTATTGCTCCCCTAAAAATTTTTCCCGTACTGCCCATGACCTCATACAGTAGGCATTTTTCTATAGACCAGGCGGACATGTGGCTTTTTTAACTCAGAAAGCGATCATTTTTCATGATACAATTTTATTACGTTTGAAATGTTATAATAAATTAAAAAACACGAATTCGGAAAAAAAGCTTTGGAGACCAAAAATGCCTGAGGGGAAGCCTTGTCCTAAATTTTTGCTGCCAAACTTTTTATTTGGAAAATGGATAAATTATACGTCATTCGATGCAGTTTAACGCACTGATTCTAAATATGACTTAAGCTCGTTTATTGATGTAAGAGTAGAGAATGCAAAAAATATAAGCCACAAAAGCGGATCGAGGATCCATATACATGTGGTCACCATAAAAAAAAGGAAACAAACACTTGACTATTCTAAATATCACATTAGTTTTCTATAGAAGTGCTTCTGAACTGCTAAAAGTAGATTTATCTAAAAAATCCAGGTTTTTTTTTGAAAACTTGTTTCTAGGCCTAGAGGAAAAACCGCATAAAACCGCATTCATTGTAGATACAGCATATGTTGGCGAACATTTTGATATAATTCAGAGTTAGATTCGAGGATGGATGTCGGTGGATGCCTTATTACAATTCGAGACCTATAAAGAGCATGAATTTGTCGACAATTTTATTTTTCTCCTCTACGATTATTGATCCAAATCGAAATGTTTTTTCGCTGATAGATACCGATAATTCTCTAGAATTCGAATATATACTTGCTACAACTGTAAATTATCTTAATATAATAAAAAATGGTCTTTTTCTTGGAGGTCGCTAACATGTAGACTATTTTTCCTTATATATTTTTTCCCAAATTTTGATTTGGGAAAAAAACACTGGGAATAAAAAAAATTTTCGCAGTTAGATAGCCCATCTATCACGGTATATTTGACACTATTTGAATTTTGAAAAGCATACTTTCGATTTTTTGCTAAATGTTCGCCTGTATGCCCGCCCACTGTACCTCAATAGATCGCCATACCTTGGCCAAACAATAGAATTTCTAAAACCCCTGTTATTTATGCACTCTTTTATTTTTAATTCAGAAGGATTTCTAACCCAAAAAACGATGATATTTATAACTAGCGTAAAAATCTGCATCGAGTGATATATGAAACAGTAGTTTTCTAGAAAAAGGCTCTTTTTGTTGAAATAGATATTTTGTGCAATGAGGACTCATACTAGACTAAAAGCAATTGTGTATTAAGACTAAAATATGATATTCGCCGGGCAAGCTGAAATTGCCCGTTAAGTTCTCTCTCGAGTAGAGATGTGCAGGACGGTGATTTTTGCGCACTAGCCGATAAAAAGCTCCATAATAAGAGCCTGTTCTGTCTATGCAATTCTCTCGAATTATATTTATTGTTCATTTGGGATGTAATTTATTTAATTATACGACAAACACATGTATTGTCTCTGAAGCAATCGTATTATTTTTCACTTTTGCTAGCAATAAATATTGCGCTTTAATGACCGTTAACAAAAAAATTGTTGTTCTAGAAAGAGGTTTAAAGTTTGAGCTGATCTACGGATTTTGTGATTTTGTCCAGCCTGGACCTGCAAGTCAGGTCAGGGCAAGATCGACATGCTGATCTTTACTCCTGAAGTAGGTAATGAATTTTCTAAAAATGATGGTTTTTCAGGTAATGCTGGGCTATTATATTAATCGTAGTCGAAAATACTAAAAATATATTTTAAGATGGATCGTTTCACTTGCATTCAATACATCAATATTAAAAAAAGGGATGTTGACATTGATGGGTCATCGTTAGCGAATCATTATGATATGAAAGATGATAATGAGAGCTATAATTATCAATCAGTGTCAGATTCAAACACTAATTCATTTTAATGTCACGAAACGTTTCTTACATCCATACCATCGGCAGAAAAAGAAAAGAAAAGTGGTAAAATGTTTATATTTAAGCTTTTAAGCAGAAGCAGATGTTGGTGAGGGTCTTGTCTATTTGTTTCATTTTTTGTGTTTTATGAAAATAAGTTAGAAAAAATACAAATTTAGGTTTTAAAAATAAAACATGTGTTGTGGTATAGTAGAAAATAAACGATCGAAAACAGAAATTTTATGAGCTTTCATTGTGCGTCAGTAAAGGTTCAAAAAGTAAAAGAAGTCTACTGCCAGACCTAAATTAGATCAGTTTTGCGATGCTCAGCAACTTCAAGCAACCAAAATATTGAAAGAAAGCGAGAAATAGAACCATTTTGTCTCCTTCTTGTCCTTTCTATTGTTCAGAAAGGTAAATCATTTTCTTTTTCAAAAGCAAGAAAAGATATCACTTTCGTTTTCCTAGAAAAGAAAAGGTGCCACTTTTCTTTTTCTTAGGAAAGAAAATATATGCATTATACCCTTAATCTTTACTTTTGAAAATAAAAGATACCACTTTATCGTTACTCTGGAAAGAGACAGTAAAGTGCCACCCCTAATCATCATAGTAGATAATCTGAAACATTTTTTGTTTTAGTAAGACGTATTGTCAAAAGTTGTTGATATGCATTGATATTGTAGCTTAATGTAATTTTAAAGCAGATAGAAATAATAACAGTGACCACCCTATACGTGCCGAGTGGTCGCTTTAGACAAATGAATGATACAGTTGTAAACCTCTTCAACATTTAACAGGAATCCCACATTTTTCTGGTAGAATATAAACGGGCTATGATACATGTAAAAAGCAGATAAACTAAGTCCTACTTGAACAAAAGACTAAATAGAATTGAGCAACTCCGGCTAGGTACAACCCCAACTTCGTTTTAACTCCGAATTAAAATCTGTTCGTTCTTTTTTCTTCCTGCTTTTTACTTTGTCCGAATAACGGCCAAGTTTTCAGTTATCATAGTATGCACAAAAAAAAGCATTATAAAAAATCGAAATTACTTTTCAACAATGTTAATTTTGAGAGCGTATTCTTTGTCATACTACTACGATATGATCGAAAAAAAAATCTGATTGTGGAAAAACACGCTCCACAGGAGCTGATATAGTCGGAGTTGAAGGTATTTTGAATCGGAGTTGGAGTCTGGAGACAAAATCTGTCATCAACTCAACTCCGGTCGTTTGAAAAAGCAAACTCCAACTCATCTCCAACTCCGCAAAAGAAAGAGCTCAACTCCGAAGTTGAGTTATCCAGCTCTGAAACTAACATACAGTAGTAAATTTGTTCAAATAAAAAGTAGAAAATAACTGGTAAATTTAGTAACAAATAAAATGACAACTATATTTTCAAATGTATTTTCAAAGCAAACTTAAAAGATTGCGTTGGTAAAATTATAGAGGTTTTTAACTCCTCTTTGTACTAGTCGAAAGGAACTTTGTAGAAAAAAAAGACTTTACTGTAGTAAATCTTGTAAATGGAATTTCTACTGCTCTAGAATAATTTCTGAGAGATCGAGTTTTCAACAATGGAATGTACTCATATAGATCGAGTAGTGTGATCCTGTTGACTATACGATAAAACTCCACGAGACAAAAGTGAAACCAATTAGTAACCTTAGAAAGACCTATCAAGATTACGGCTATCAACATCACGATTGCAATTTTCGTAATCACACGATCTGCGAGACGTTAAGTCGCTCAAGATGAAAAGAACAATCAGAGTTATAAACAGCGCAGCAATGATCTATACGAGACAGAACACAACTTTTATATAATAGCATTCGAATGAATTGTGGACTATCTCAAAAAACGCGCTTTATTTCTCCTATTATCCTTCAACATGACAAAACAAGCTCCTTGACGTGAGTTGATCATTTAAGATTATATAAGAGTTTGACTTCCAGACGTTTCGATCACGTGAGAGATTTTGATTATTAATAGAAAGACAGATAGGAAATGCATATTTCTGAGATATTAGAGAAAACTAAGTCCACAAACACTTACCTACAGTCAATAATAACATAGAATTTTGATTACACAAATCAAATATGCGATCAATTTTACTGTGCCCCGAATGTTGAATATTAGAAGAAAGCTCAGTGCGAGCAAACATTAGAGGAATAAAGACGTCATCAGCGAATAATGAGCTTTTTTAGTCATTTTTTTGTTCTGGTAGTTAGATGTGTTAGTGTTACAAGAAATCAAGAAGCTCATATGAGTATAAAATGCTTTCATTCTAAAACGGCTTCTGAATCTCTGTTTCAGGATGCTGATAGGATCGATCTAATGGAAAAAAACGTTTTTATTAGAAGTTGAACCTCGACTCATGTACGAACCTTCTGAAAACGTGTCATAGAAGTGTTCTTTTTAAATTTTGGTTAACTAAGATTTGAAAGAAACAAGAGCAGTTGAAATATGTTTTGAACGTGTTTGTGTATCTGAAGTAAGTTCTGTAAACTTTTGTTTGTCGGTACAAAAACCTTTTCAAAATCTTCTACTTTCGTTTCTATAGGAGAAAAAAAGAAAAAGTGCTGTTATGCACTTAGACAATACGACTTGTCCAGCTAATATTCATCTTTTGTCGCTCTTTTTCAAAACATTATTGCAATAAAACTACAAACTAATCTAAAATTGCAACTAGGTAATTAAGTAGATTCAATATTTTTCTATAAAATGAAAAACGGTAACGTTGTGACGCTTTTGACCGTCTTTTGTCACAGCGTTACCGTTTTTCTGATTTTTCTTTGATTCGTACAGATTAATCAGAATAGTTTCGAACTTGAACTTGGAGTTATCAGATCTTGTAGAGCGAACAATTTTCTATAAACAGGTATACTTCTTCAATTTTCGCCAATTCGTCTTCACTCTTTTAGACATGTTTCTCGGATGGCCCCCAACTCGATCTTTTGGACTGTTTACACAAGAGCTGTATTTTCATCACGAATCAATGTTCAGAGTACAGACACTCTTCATTTTATAGAGAAATGTTTAATCTACTTAATTATCTAGTTGCAATTTTAGATTAGTTTGTAGTTTTATTGCACTAATGTTTTGAAAAAGAGCGAAAAAAGAGGATTGTTAGCTGGACAAGCCGAATAGATGATTTTTGCCTAGTGATTCAGTAATGCCAATAAGAAAGTATTGCAATATCCAAACTTAATTTTATTTTAATAGATGTGATGGTAGTCACTGACCGCTTTACTTAACCATCTCTGTCGTGTTGAGAAATTCATTATTAGAATAACAAAAAATGAAATGATCTAAGTTTCACTAATAAATTTATTTGGCACTTTATAGTTTTCTTTTAATTGTTTAACAATGAATAGTTTTTGATTTCCTTGTGCTAAAATTAGTCTTCCATTATATTTTCGTTTTGCTTCTATACTATCATCAACTACCGCACTAACATTCGCTCCTTGTCTTATTCGTTTACAAAATTCATTCAAATCAAAGTCATACACGTCTAAATTTTTAATAATAGTCTGTTTTTTTTTGTTATGATCAATGACTTGAATTTCTATTGATGGTATTTGTCCATTCATTCGAATGGGTTGTTCTCTATAAGGAAATATGAGCTCATAACATTGAGCCATTGTATTCAACGCTGTTCCATTTAATTCATTCCAACTGACTAAATCATTTTCTGCTTTTAACTTTTTAAATAATTTACAAATAGTCGAATCACATTTAACTTGTTTGTCAACAACTAGATCATGTTCTAAAACATATTGTCGAATTAATTGACGAACTTCATCTGCACGATATGTTCGTATTTGTTTGGTATTTAATAGATCATTGACATGTGAATTTGATCGCCATAATTCATTTACTACAGGAAATGTGTAGGTTGATATCGGTTGTTTCTGTTTTTCAATTTCATTTGATTGTTTAATATAAGATTTTAACCATATCGGAGTACGAAATCGTTCTAAATGTTCATTATTCGAGATATTAAACGACGTTATCGATAGTACACCTTTTTTCGTTTCTTCTAAATGAATAATATCATTAATTTCTTGTTGATATTCGAGAAATTTTGAAAACTTCTTATAGGAACTTGATTTTAAATCGAGATCTAGACCATTGACACAGTCTTGCATGATTGTAAAAAAAGTACTAACCAAAATTGGCAATTCAAATGTTTTTGATTTACGTTGACAAATGTAACAAAATATTGTATCAAGAATTTCATCCATTGATTCGGGTATTTGATTATTGCTTTCTAAATCGATTACTAAAAGAAAGAACAAATATAAACATCAAGTACTAGAAGAATCCACATACTGCAAAAGTAATTCATTCTACTTTTCATTATAGTAAAATCACAATTAGGAAAAATAGATTATTTTATACTCAACGCGTACCGTTAGTTTTTTCCAGAGTTACTGTATCGTTTTCTAACTGTTCTTTATCGTCAATATTTATAGTTGCACATGCTTGAGAAATTAAATTATCATTTTCCTCTTGTTGTACTTGATCATCGACACTGTTTTCTTCAGTTGTTGTCTGTTTACTTTGATGTCTTTGAGTATCTTCTGATATGAATAATTGTTCAATTTGTTTTTCATACGGTGGCTCTGTTTTTGTTCCTGTTTGCCATAAATAGTCTTGATAAATATGTAAAATAACAATTCCTTTTCCTTTCATTCCTGACATGTACATATCATCGCCATCCATTGTCATTTGACCTATACCAATCGGATATACATTATCATCTAAACAGATTGAACACAACTGTCCTTTTTTAACGTGTCGAAATGTAAATGGTGTTATGGTTGGTGGCAAAATCAAACCGGGTAACATTAACTCAGCTCCATTTAATAATTTTAAAAATACTTCTTTATGTGTATGAAATTTTAATTGTATCATATTTGGATATTCCCATAACAAGTAAACAGTTGGATATAGATATTCATCTTTGTCAATAAAAAATAATGGAATTTTATTTTTGGAATATACATAGATATCATCACCATTACTTAACATTAATTTAATTGATGTAAAATCTTCTTTGGATGGTATTATTGAATTTAAAGCATTTTCATCTAATGACGGATAGACATGTTGTAGTGTGGTACGCAATTTCTTGCGTTCAGATGATTTCACTTGTGTGTGAGATTTCGATTTAAAATCTTTACGAAACATTATCTAAAATAAAATAACGTTAAAAATAAGAAATATCCTCAAAATAGTCAAAAACCATTATTTTATTCCATGATTCTAAGTCATGTCAGTTTTCGCTAAAATTTCAGCGAACAACGATACAGTAGCGATACATTATAACGGCAGGACCCCTATCAGATATAATCATGCAATAAACTAACAGTCCATACTCACTGTAATAAAAGAACGGAATATGAAATAAACAGACTAAACGGCCCAGACTTCATAGCTTAAGCATGGCCTCAGGCTTTCTGAGAATCCTGATACTATTATCTGTTGACTTGGGAGAACCTCAAAGACGACTAGAATATGATGATCGAACGCGTCACGTGATAATATTTGTTTTTCGAAAAAGGTCCAGAAACCCAGCGAAATTCTGTTTTTTTGTTTTAGGATATTATCACGGTACTACACAGTAGATGGAGAAACGCGAAAAAAAAGAGGAAAATTGAATTTTTTAACAAAAAAGATTTCTAGATTACATCTAAGGAAACAGACTGCTTCAATTTTTCATACTATCACAAACCGAATATATTCTGAAAGTTTTAGCTGATCGGGATTGGTTTTCATGAAGATATAAGTTTTCTAATACTCGACGAAGTTAGCCTAGAACTGTACAACTGTAAAAAAAAGAATTTCACTAGTTTTTGTACCTTTTCCAAAACATTAAAAATTACCGCGAGACTTGACGTGCTCGATTATCATATTCTAGTCGTCTTTGAGGTTTCCACAAGTCAACAGACGCGCTCCCATTTTAAAGAAGACAGTGTGAATTATCTTATCATAAAAGTGCACCAGTATTTCTATCATAGATTTTTTGGATCATGAACAAGTTTTCAAAGTTCTTGTCAAAGCCCACTTTTTTATGAAAAGAAGGCTCTGAGTTTTGGCTGCCGTATAAAATTGCAGATCTCCGCCTCTTTTCTAACAAAAGTTATTCAAGAATATTCAATCACCTTAAGATTCTAAAGAGAATAGTGATGTTTATGGATGTCTCGAGCAGAGTAAGACTCTTGTAATGGTTATTTTACGTTGATTTATGAGTATATAATCAACAAATAAATTAGTTTTCTTGTATTTTGGAAGAATAAATCTTATGTTAACAAAACTGACATAAACAGAAGAATGTCCAAAAGAAAAAATAAAGTAGAAAGAGAAGTAGCAACTAATCAGTAATTACTATAAAATTCACAACTACATAAGCGTAAGTACGAACAACTATGGTAATCCTTGAGGAAATAAGAAATAATCGTAAAAGAAAATGTTAAAATAATCGAAAATAAATGTGAAAATATCTGCGTATTTGATTATATTTGATTGTTCTGTTAGTCATTCACCTCAAGAGAAGTAAAACTCTTTTGTATTCATTACTGGCGAAAGTATGCCCAGCTCGACTGTCATCTCTAATAAATAATTCATTCTTTGTTTTTTAGCTGCCAATTGATGCTAAAACCATAAACAACACTAGATACTGGATTTCACTGATAACTTTCTCAGCAAAGACTTGATTAGTGGTATATTTCACACAGCACTTCACAAATGTAATTTCATAATGACGGACAATATTTTCTGAACAACCAATACATTCAATTTTGCATTGTCTATAGTCGAAATATTTATCAGATGGGAATGAGGTGATCTTAATAAACCTTGTCAGGAATTTCTATCAACAAAGATATTCATCATTTTGATGAATAGTATATAAAATAATATATAAAGTCTAACGATTTTGTGAAAAACTTTCAACTTTTTGTTACATTAGTGATTTTTTACTACAACGTCGATAGTTGAGAAACAATTGACAGTTGTATTCAATTGTACACTCTAATAAAAAGATTTGTCTAAAGACACTGCAGAAACAAGAAATTGGGTCATTTCTTGCTTAAGAAGGGCCTCTCTATTTAAAATCTTACGACATTTTGCAAGTCAAGATCTTCACAGAAAAGACAAAAAACGACTACACTAATGCAGAAAGAACTTTAGTGGAAAGTGATCTTTCTACTGTTGCGATCATATCAACGCATGACAATCAAATCTATCAATTGAATTCATACAATAGTACTGAAACACATGGTGACTGTAACTAGAAAACTAGAAAAACGGAACTTTTTCGATGTTTTCATTGGTCCAGGATTTCCAATAATGTATGCAATTTAGAAATGAGAATTGAATCAACTTTAAGAATCTCTGATATAATAAATGAAAATGTATCTCAAACGAAAAACACCGCGGTAACTTTTCTGAATAACGCATAGCACCAGTCGCTAGATGACGCTGAGTGCCGACAAAAAAGAATTTAAAAACGAAAGCGATCTTTATTTCTGACTGAATAATATGTGTTAGTTCAAGTAGACTGCAGGGGGTCGTATCACAAAAAAACTGAAGTCTGACTTAAGGCAAAATTTGGACTTAAGTTTTTACCGTATCACAAAAAATCTTAAGTCAAAGGGTGACTTAAGTCATGGGAAATGTAGTCTTACAGTTAAGGCCGAAAACTTAAGTTGGATTTGAGTCATTGACGCATTTTTTGAATAGATCAGGCATTTAACGATACGATTCGACGAAAACGACATTCTAAGAATTAGAGAATAAATATTTCGGTATTTTGCGGGTTTTTATCCGAAGTTTGTCAATGTTGTCAACGACTTTTAAAAAGTAAACAAATCGCTAACTTAAGTCTTTTTCGTGATGCCATTTAAGTCCCCGGACTTAAGTTGGTCTTAACCTTAGACTTAAGTTTTTTCGTGAGACGACCCCCAGAAACTGGAAGCATCGCTTGTAATGAGCTTTTCTGCAGTTCAACATACTGTGTGAATAGCAATCCCTGAAAAAATGTTTTTCTCATTTTTTGAAGTTGCTTCCAGACTAGAGATGTTAGCCAATAAAACGATCGGCAGTGGTGGATGACTCATAAAAAATTTTAGCCTTTGGCAGCGGCGGCGTAAGGCGTTTCCGATTTTTTTCGAGAAAACTAGTTCTTCCGCTAAAATTTTGCTCCACCGGCGGCGTACCGACTAACACCTCTACTTGCAGGGCCAGCAAGCGGTATAACTTTGGATACAACTCTATAGCAACGACAAAAGTTAAACAGTCTATTTTAATCAAACCATCATCAATGCACTAATCTAACTTCGAATAACTCCTCAGGACGCCAAAAACAATGTAATTAATTGTCACCCTGGTCGTGTAGTAATCTATTTCATCATGAATTTTTCTGTAAAAGGACAGTATTCGAAGTTTCACAACAGCAAAGTAAAAACGACTCTTCGAACATAATTCGTTCTTTTCTTAATAATACATGACTAGTTCATTATTACCATTTTCTTCACTAGGTTATGGCTGTCCATTATACTGTTGCTGCTTCTCGCGTTTCTTATACTCGACTAAGGATTTTGACTATCAGTTGACGGTACCTTGCTTGCTCAGACACGTTGTCCGAATTCATGTTATTTTGCAATAATTACAACTGATCTAGAAAAACGAATAAAGTCCTGATATAAGAAATAGAGGACACTTCCTCGAGACAAGTTCCCATGACGTTTTAGTTATACAATTAACAGATTACGCATGAGCTATTAAGTGTCAGTCTTCGTTGATCCAGGTAACAACTTCGATGTCGTAGTTGTGCATCCTGAGTTTCTTTTGCTCATACGTTTGCAAAAATAATTTAAAGTATCAAACCTTTCGCGTTCGCACATACTGTTGTCGAAATTTTCCTCACTTTAGATACATTTGTGTCTCCCGTGTGCGTTTCACTGCGAGAAGGATTACCATTAGAACTATGAATAAGACCAGTTCTGAAAATTGGTACACAATCAAGTAGTTAGTATTGACAAAACAACTGGTTAGAGAAACTCGCTGATTAATAGCAATGGCGTAAAGATCGATACTGGAAGTTCTTAAACTGTATTTGAGAAAGATGCTTTTGCTAAAATCGTCAACGCAGTCACAGACCATCTTATTCATACCGAAAGTTTTAACGTGCTTGGGTGATTCTTTCCAACACAAGTACACTTTGTAGCTATTAACAACTTTTCTTTTCAAATGAATAAATAAAGTTAAACAAAATTATCACGATATGAAGGCCGGACTTTGCTGAGTGGTTCACGCGATTTGATTGTAATGAAATTGAACGATTAAGACTGTAACCTCGATTAATATTGCCGATTTTCTCACAAAACTTTTTTCGGATTAACAAAAGACCAGGTGCAGTCATACGCGATTTTTTTTCATTGCTCCCGTCTGTCAGCAAGAGAAAAAGAGAAGTTGCACGAATATAATGGTTAGGTATGATTCGTTACTTTACAGTAGATGTAAGAGACAATAGACGCATTTTATGTTCATATGCTATATCTCCTGTTGTCAGATGGATATTGTGTTCAAAATAGACATTAGGAATAAGAGTAGAAGGCTGCAGAAATATAATGAAATGAATATTTATTCTAAAATTCATCGAACAGTGAAGACAATTAGTCATTCTTCCTTCTGATTTTTCTCGAAAAATCTCGACGTTTCTCTACAGTCGTTTACTGATTTATTTTTTCCAGAATTCGAATTTTCAGGCTCTTACCTATACATTTGAGATTGCGATCGTCAACGGAGTTTCATGATCATTCACAAGGCTATTCGAATTTGGTTGACAATTACTATCAAAATCTTGTTGATTAACTATATTATTTGTTATTGTTGTGTGAAAATCAAACTCGTCAACTACTTGTTGCAATGTTTCACTGGCCGGACTAATAATCCGTTGTTGCTGATGGACATTATTGAAAGTTGATCTAGCTATTTGTGAATAAGTAATGGGGTTTTGTTGTGATTGCCGTTCGTTATTTATCGATAACATTTGAGTATTTCCTGAACGTTCTACACTGTTTCTAAACATTAAATTTTTTATACGACTTAAATAGGCTAATGATGCAACTGAGTGTAGAGGAATGAGACCATCGACAATTGTTCGTCTAGTTGATATATATTCACTTGGTATTCGATAAACCCTCACACCAGCATTATTCGTCGTTGTTGTACCTGGTATAGCTATTTCAGCATATGGGCTTTGACGACCACATTCGATTATTTGTGGATAAAAGTCTTCTTCAAGAAATGCATACAAAAGTGGGATACAAGCGGTACATACACAAGCTAGGACAAATATTAAAATACACGCAATAATAACAAACCAATCGGCACGGCTTAACAGACTATGTTGTTCACATTCAAAACCAGACCAGTCTTTTGCACATAGACAATATTCATACCAGCCAGTTAAAAGATCTTGAACACGTGCACATTGCCCGTGATAACAAGTTTCATTCAAAATACACGGATAATTTAAATATGGTATGCGGATTTGCATCAGTTTTATTAGTCTCTTTGAAACTCATCGATCACATGAGAAGTACATCGAAGAGTAGTATTATCGAGAGTGTCTCAGGCGCCAACGTACAATAAGAAGTGATGCACATTTAATTTTTTCTGTATAACTGTATAAAGAAACACTGATCTGACTATCACACAAAACTTTCACTATTAACCAATTCTTGAATATCTTCTAAATTTAGTTGTTTGCTTGAAATTATTGGCTGTTCTCGTATCACTTCTTGCATTGTTGTTGAGATCGGTTTTGGCAGGCGGAATGTACTAGAATCACGTCTGTATGCCCATATTCGACATTTATCAATTAAAACTAACGTTACATTAGTTTTAGTTAATACGTAAAAGGACGATATTAGTAACGTCCTTTTATGATGTTGATTCTTTTTCTAATGCAGAACATTAGCCAAATAAACAATCTTATCCAATATTATAAATTCGTGTTTGTTTTTGATCAGCATTAATTAAAATTCTTTCAATTTCATTTGTATAATGATCAGTTGTCAAATAATGTTGTGTATATGTGTTGTTTGATGATTTAAAGCCATTTTCCATTACACATACTTGTGCTTCTTTTAATAGTTCGAAACATTCTGGATATTGCTTAGACAATGTTTGAATGCCAACATGACCATCTGATATCCACAATTATCGATTCCCGCGGTCTATTTCAATACAATCAATAATACATCATGGTTTCTTAACACAATTAGCTAATAATAACTGCTCTTTCGTTACCATTGAGCTAAGTACCAGCAGTACATTCATAAAACGATGTTTTCTAACTTAAATGATGATTACTATACTCATCTTTTATTTTTCGTTCTCTCACATCGTCTTACCACTTGATTATCAGTTGCATTTCTTATAATCACTCTCCGTCGTTGCTTTTATTCTTTTCAACGATGTGCTCACGATTCGTCCCTAATTGATTTCTCAATTCGTCCCTTAAAATTTTTTCTTGATTCGTCCCTCAAATGCACGCATAGGCTAAATTATTCGACTTTTAAATTTATTTAATAAACTTTGTAAACAGACCAACACTAATAATTAACAATATATAAACAGCTACAATTTAGAGCCGTTTAGGATGCTTAAAAAAAGAAGCTCACTATCCTATATAAACTTATGGATATTCAGTAGAAGAGTACACAAAAATTCTCCGAAACATAAAAAGGCAGATCATTGGTTTCTCGGTCCCATTGGTTTAGCATTAATACCAGCCGACATTGTTGAAAGTACTTGGACGGATATTATGAATTTATACACCCCAGATGATGTTAATGCTACTGAATTCAATGATTATTTAGTTCAAACCTATGTAGATATTAGTTTATATGGGATTAATATATGGAATGTGCATGATGCAATAATTAATGATTTATCAAGGACAAACAATCATGTTAAGGGGTACGATAGTCGTTTGGAAAGTCATTTTCCAAAACACCCACATATTTATCATTTTATTGAATTGTTACGTGATGAACATTTATATCAACATCATAGCGTTGAAGAATCAGATATACAAATAAGGAAACGAAAAAAATTATACAATAATATTGATAGTAAGTTAAAAGAATTATATGAAGAACACATAAAAGGAACAATAACACATGCTAAACTGGCTATTAAATGTGGTAGAGCTGTTAAAACAACCCCAATTAAAACATGATATCTTCACAAATAATTGGTTTGTCTTGTGGGCATAATGGTATTGTAGCTGTTTATATATTGTTAATTATTAGTGTTGGTCTTTTTACAAAGTTTATTAAATAAATTTAAAAGTCGAATAAGTTAGCGTATGCGTGCATTTGAGGGACAAATCAAGGAGGGACGAATCAAGAAAAAAATTTTAAGGCACGGAATGAGAAGGGACGAATTGAGGCTAAACCCTCTTCAATAGCTCGTTTAAAATAATTCTCTATAACCGTATTCACATGATTCCGATTGTTGATGAACTGTATTTCACATGATTGTCTGCAACTTCCATTGTTCTTTCAATGATACCGCTGACATTCGTAATGCGATTAGTTGTTGTTTATAATTAAACAATGAGCATGTATTAAATAATTCAGAATTATGCCATGATATACATGTACATTATTTCATTTTAATTTTAGTGAACCAAATTGGTCAAATTGAGCATGAATCGGCACAGTACCCATTGAAAATTTCGTTACGTATTGCGATCGATAATTTTGAATTTAAATTATTGCTAATGCACAACGAGCAATTACAATTATTTCGAAGCCATATGAAGAAGAACGATCCTTTATTATCATTATTATATCCAACATATAATAGTTTTTTTTCACGATCGATTAATGCATTAAAACTCGATTGTTGTTGAGATAGTAACTGGAAAGTTCAAACAGTGGAGAATTTTGAATCTAATTGTGGATGAGGTATGGGATTAATGGTTGTTGTTTGATTTTGTAATGAACGTATTTTTAATGATTTCAAAAGTGGTGGCTCGATATCGAATATAAACTTTCTAATACTGTCTATCATTGTACGAAACGAATGAACAGCTGTTTGAGAATGAAGAGTAAGAATTAATGGAGAGTCCGATAATAGTGATGGACACATATCGAAAAATATTTTTAGTGAAATGCTCAAAACCATTTCAATTTATACGTAACTGAACAGAAGAGAAAGAGTTGTGGATTTTTTTTTAAAATTAATTTGAACATTTTAGAAATTAATTGGCGGATAAAATAGAATAAACAGAAACTAGGAGTCATAGAATAAACATTCCACTGACACCTTTTTAACTCTATGAAAACTACAATATTAGATGATATTTCTAGCTTATTATTTATCGTATGCAAAATTTGATATCCTGCAAAAATCAGTGTGGACATTTTTAGTGGACTTGTCAGTCTTCTGTAGTCGCTCAGTTTTACATGCTTGTCAATCTTTACATCCATCCAAAATTTCAATATTGAACATATTCTCTTTTTTTATTTTTCTCCACACCTAACAGTTTACATTACATAACCTACACAAGTTTAACAAAAAAAGTATTAACATCAATCTGTTATGTAAATAAAACTTTCAATTATTGTTGTGTGAATATACTCATCATCTCTCTCTCTCTCTCTCTCACTCTCTCACTCTCTCTCCCTTCCGATCTCGTTGATTAAATAATTCTTATCTTGTATCTCTTTTCCCTTTCCTCCTAAATGACCTTTGTATGAATGAAAAAAAGAAATTGCGTAAAATAAGACAATGAAAAGTTTAATTGTTGAAAATATAGAAAAAAAATAAATTATCATTGGAAAGAGAAACAATGAAAATTTGAATAAAAAGAAGAGAAGCCTAAAGTGGAAGGTTTTTCCTTTCCTTTTTTTTTTCTCTTTTAATCTATCAGTGGGCAAAAGAAACAATGTTCAAATCGTTCAAGTTCAAAGTGTTGGTATTTCATTTTAGATATGTTGATATGAAAGGTAAAGTATTTGAACTTGAATCTTTTGCCATGCCGAGTCACCTGTCAGATTAAATCCGCGCAATCAGAAAACCATTGCATTTACATATTTTGAGTTTTAAAATACTGCGAGGGTCAGAATTTTTCTGATTTATTCTAAGCAGTAGAATGTCTGGATAACAGTCTCATTTCTTCTACCGGTACCGACCTGTAAAAATATTACATGAACGATAGCTAAAAGTATCTGAAGAAAAAACATAATGAAATTTAGCTAATAGACTGAACTCGCTAAAAAGTATCGTGCTACTTAATATATCTTCTTTTGTTTTAGTACTATTGATTTCACTAAACCAAATTCCTATTAGGAGAAAATGCCTCTTTTAGACAATTTTATCGCTCTTTATTTTACCCTTATAACATTCTTCAACGACAGATATTGTGTATGTCAAATTGATGTAACAAATGTAACAACAGTATCATCATCCAAAATGCTCTGTAAATATTTTACAAACAATAATCATCTTCGTTGTCAACATGTAGCATTAAAACAAGCTAATTTATCAATTAATCTTCATCCAAATTATACAACAATATCCGAATTTGAATGGATCGAATCAGACGCATATTCATTAAACACATTAGCCAAACAAAATTTATTTCTCGATATGTCATTTTTAAAAATTCTCTCATTACAATCGAATGCATTGACAAATCTATCATCTTTTTGGTGGTTACAGATAACGAGAAATTTAACACATTTAGATCTTTCTCATAATCGTTTAACATCGTTACGATTCGAACAATTTAATGGATTTCATTTTCTTGAATATTTGAATGTATCTTACAATCATTTACAATATATTGAAACCGTATGGAATATTCTTTCATCTCTTCATACTATTGATCTGTCATTTAATTCTATTAATTCAATAGTGACAGGGAAAAAAGCGATAGCAAAATGTGTAATGGAAAACTTTTATTTGAATGATAATGCTCTGTTATATTTATCAGAAATTTATAATACAACAATTGACTCTTGTCCATATCTAAGTGAATTTGTTTTAACAAATAACTATTGGCATTGTAATTGTAACGATATTATGTATAGTTTAAGATATTACAGAAATCTATTTGGTGATAAAAGTATCAGTGGACAATGTCGAACACCAAATTCAATGTACGGAGTAGATATAAGAAAAATAAGTGAAGATATTGTTTGTCATGATAATCATCGGCCATCAATGATTGTTGTCGAAGATTCAACATCAGAAGAACATGCACATTATTCATTATTGTACGTCTTTTTAACAGGTATATTAATTGGATTATGTATCGGTTTATGTATTCATTATTTGGCTCATCGATGTCGTGAAACATTGTCTCATTCATGGAAAACACGAGCAATATTAAGACGAAAACATCTGACACAACAACAATTCCATTTAAGAACAATTTCAAATGAGAACACAAGGCAAAATAATAATTATCATCAACGAAATTTAATTTATTGTCCACCGCAAACAATTTATGACGATACATTACCATCATATAATCAAGTAATGAATGAAATATTTTATTTAGATTCAAATCGAAATCGAAATGAATTAGATGAAGGAGATTGCTAGTTATTGTAGTTTGATTTTGTACTATTTCTTTAGTAAAAGTTACCTTACTTATTCTAAATTTTCATAAACATTTAATAATACCCTACTGCCAGATAATCAATTAATTGTACGAAATTTAACTTCTTACTCTATATACGTACCATTCATCGATAATGATAGTATTTAAATTATTTTATGTTGTTACTACGCTATACTAAATGTTTTTCATTGACTTCACATGGTTCATTCAATAATCGGTATTTCATAAGAAAAAAGATTACAGAAAAATTTAAGACAGTAATTGAGTTTCATCGATTTCCAGAAAGATATCAACAAAATCAACGCTTGTTTTTCCTACAAAGTAAACTGTGATCTTCGTTAACAGATATTTATCCATCGTGAAATATGATTGACATCATTTTTGTTTGAAAGATTGGTCAGTGATATTTGATTAATAAACAAGATAAAAATTTTCATCTATAAATTGATACGCGAAAGACTAGTGCATTCATTAATCACAACATACGATTTCATCGCAAATAAATTTTTCTAAAACTTTTTTCCCGCAACTAATGCAATATGAATATCTAAATGTGACTTATATCCTGTGAATGAAAGTACAGAAGTCTACTGCCATACCATTTGTTTGTATACGAGAAATCTGAACGAAAACACGATCCAATAAGCTGCGTAAGCCGTTTAACAGATCTTTCATCCGTATTTTTAAGTAGTTCTTCAACTTGAATGTCGACTAATTCTTAGTTAAAGGTTAACTTTGTTCCTGGCATTTTATCAAAAATATCTACAATCCATTTTAAGTTTTGTTTTGGTTTAAGTTTGTCTTATTTCTATGGTGACATCTCGAGAGTTGTATGCTGTCAATGCTGTAAAAATGACCACAGAAGACAGGAACAAACTAAACGTTGACTTTAGTCTGTACTTAAGTTTAAGAAAAGAATATTAATGAAATATTTTTAATTAACTCTATCCTATCTCGTATTAGTTTTAATTTTCTTTTTTTTTGTTCTATTCGTATGTGTTCTCTTTTATTTAATTCCTATCTGTCACAGGGTTGCCAACTCTAAAAGTCCAAAATGTGCAAAAAAAAAACGTTTTGAAAAGTGGAAAGCAAATTTTGTTTTCACACTCCACTGCTCCAGTGTATGAAATTACTATATTTAATATATTTTTTTTCATTTTCAGTGGATCTGTAAATTAAGAATCTTCGGTAAAGAGTTTGCACGCTTTAAATATTCTAACGCAACCGGCAAGATAAACAAAAAAACATAAACAGCAGGAAATTATAACTACTCTTCTGACGCATATGATATACAAAACAAAAATGTCTTAAAGAGAAAGAGACTTTTGAAAATCAATTTGCGTTTCTTCTCACAAAACATGGCACCCACTTCAGTGAATTTTCTTATTTTTTTAGTACTTCACAATTCAATCATACGCTAATTAAGTCAAAATTACGATATTACTAGTATATTTTCTTCAAATTCTGAATGAAGAAGAGAAAATGATCTCACACCCAGAATTTTCTGGCGGATATATTGATGTGTTTTGTTTTAATTCATAACGCGTTTTTTGCTCGATACCATATGCTTGAATAGATTAATAAGTACTGAAATTTTGAAAATTAGGATTTTAATATTTTAAATGTTATATAGAGGAATGTGGGAACTAAATGTACAGTTTTACAGAGAATTAAATTCTGCATCTTTTGAGTCTAAAAAATTAGATCACATAACTTTTGTTTTCAAGGGAAGCAGCATAGAGAGCTTAAAATATCAAAAGAGTAGAGATACATGAAGGGCATATATCAAGATGCTACTAATAAACTGAAAACTTGAAATAAATCTAAAATAACCAAATCTTTTTATGTAACATAAAAAGGGACGAAGAAGGAAAACAACTTTAAACAGTAGGAAATGTAGAATAAAATTCCGAAAGTAGGACGATTTTAGTAAAAAGTAGGAACAAAGCAGGATGTTTACGAAGCCTGTAAGTCTGTCGATATTCGATTACGAATATCATCAAACAAATGATTTATTTGAGAAATCATCATCACAATCCCAGAGTCTTCTCTATTTCACGTGAAACGAAACGAAGGTTTTATTGAAAAATACTTTATTATTTAACTAAAAATTATTTGCAAAATTTCTCCATTGAAACAACGGCAATTCAGTAACTTGATATAATTTTTTTTCTAGACGAATGCTGGTCATAAAAGAGAACAAGGACGGTGTGTGTTTATATATAGACATTTGTCATTTACAAGAAATACTTGTCTAACTTTATTCCTTATTTTTTACCATCATAATTTGTTTTCCACTCACAGAAATATTACTTTAGAACAAATATATAGAAGTCAAGCTACAACATTATTGCCTAAATTGACACGATTGACGACAGCTCAGACAATGCTCTTGTGAGACAATAGTGAATAGGCCGATCTTTAGTAATATATTACTGAGGTAACAAAAGCTATGAAAATTGTTCAAGGAACTAAATTTTAGATGAATGAATTCGAATGTGAACGGTGCTTTAGCACAATGAACTACTTTATCAACTGGACTTTTGAGCGTAAATTCGCGAGTGAAATGAAAAGACTTTTTCTAAGAGAAAAGAAAGTATGAATTGTTTAAACACTATCAACAAAAATGTTTTACTAGCAAAAAAACAATAACTCTTCTTCCATCACTGTATCAATAAGATTTTTGAGATACGCTAAGGGGAAGTCGTCAAACTTCATGTCGTACCGATTGTAGAGAATGAAGTACAAGTAAATACAAACAAGTAAATAATTTATTTTTTCTTCTCTATATATTTTGTATTAAATGTTATCGAAATTGATTTTCGAATATAACAAAACATACGAATTGTACTTATGAATTGTATTAGTTATGTGGTTTTCAAACAGATGTATTTCAAGGTTTTTGAAGGTATTAACGGAAAACCTAAGAAGAATTTTCAAAACAAATCAATATTCATTGTTTCGTCAATGTAAATAAAGAATATCTTCAACATTGAAATTTTGGATGGATGTAATGAATGAAATATTTTATTTAGATTCAAATCGGAATAGAGCTAGCTGAATGAGATGAAAGAAATTACTAGCTATTATAGTTTAATTTTGTATTATTTCTGCAGTAAAAGTTACCTCACTCATTCTACAGTGATGGAAGAAGAATTATTGTTTTTTACTTTTGTTGATAGTGTTTAAACAATTCACATTTTCTTTTCTCTTAGAAAAAGTCTTTTCATTTCAACCCAACATTGGATTTGTTGTTCCTTCATCTTGCGTTTATTGTTTGCACATTTTTTTAACTAGTGAGCTAATTTTTTTGATGATCTTTTAGTTTTTAAAGGCGATCAGTAATCGAAGTTTTCTTAACAGAGTAGAGACGCTGCGTTATCGCGGTAAAACATACACACGTTGTTTAAACTTTATTGATGAATGAATGATGCTCCCTTGATGGACTGAAGCGTGAAACAGAAACAAACAGAAAGTTTCTAAATATCTAAGAAGCATAAGACACGTATTACAAAATTTGTACAAAACATTTACTCTGCAAACAAACTTTTACTGGCACTTATTCGGCATCGGTGGTATCAGTGCCAGAAAGACTTTCAAGTTTCCCACTGGTGCTCACCTGTGCGGATTGATACTCTTTCACTGGCAGAGGTGCCCACCGGTGCCGATATATCATAAGAAATTTTCTTACTTTATCGGACCCTGTCGATAAAGTGCCAAATTTTTTTCCAATCACCGTTTTGTATTGTCGACGTCCGTCTATATAAACACCAAAGTACACTTATAATATTTCGAATGTCATTTTGACGTCATTTCTTCCTTCTCATAAGAGAAATGCTGAGGCAGTGCCGCACAGTTACGGCATGCCAGTGTAGTACTGGTACATGTCAGTGCCGTACTTTTAATTAATGCAAAATTAAGAAAATGCAACTATAATAAAAAACTGACTAAATAAGTTTCAATGCAGCACTTTTTTGGCATAAATATATCGGCACTGCCTGGCATGGGTGCCAAGTGGTACTTGCGGGACACCGATACCAGATAGTGCCAGTGATCGATAGCATGCCATGCACTGGTAGTGTCATGCTGATTTTTACCAGTGCCGGACTGAAATTTTCATTGTAGGGTAGTTTCGAGACTGTATGTTATCAATGAAATTCTTTAAGACAGTCGAAAACAATTCTATTTCACTTATTTTATTCGACAAGTCAGACACAATTTCGCAGTAGTACAACACCGGTTGCCTTAAAATATAAAAATATCTTAACTTTTCGCAACTTTAAACAAAAGATCTAAAAATAAATGCATTATCAGTTGCAAATGAGTCAACAACTGTATAGAGTAAGCCTGTTCGCCAACGTTTGAGGATAGACAGGGAGATTAGCTGAATGTGTAATAGGTGCATTAAATGAAGAGGTATATCTCACCCTACTAAACCTTTAAAATATCGTACGATAGAAGAAACTTGACTTTACGTACCTAGTTGAAAAAGAAGCAGACTCGCCACTGAATTAAAGCAGATTAGGCCATATTTATGCAAGAACCTGTAATGTAATTTTGATCTATTTAAAAAACCTGAAATATATCAGCATGATGGCTTGTCGTTTTTGATTAAAACAATTCGTATGACAATAGTTAGAACAACAGTTAAACAAAAGATTGAAATTAATCAGCGAATGTTCTACCAATCCTAAATATGAGCGTAACAACTAAACACATAGCTGTCATACGTCGGAAAATTTAAGAAAGAGATCACATTGTTGGTACTTTTACAGTATAAGCGCATTCTCACTTCTAAGAATACCGATAGCGTAATATTTGATCATTCTATAGAAGCGCCACATTGCCTGCTCTCTCTGCTGATATCTATATAAATAATTAACGTCACATTTTTTGCCATGAAATGCCTTGTTCAAGACAAGCGCAACATCTTATCAAATAATAATACATTCGTATTATATCTCTATTACAGCGTTTCCCAATTTATTTTAGCCATGAAACCCTTTCATAAAATTTAAAACTTTGCGGAACCCCAGTATGTATTTGACATAATATTTGACAAAAATTATTTAAGACTACGTAATTTTTTTTACGTGGTGAAATTAATTTTTATCTTCTTATTTTTTTCTGGCGGAACCCTTGGTTTCACTTCACGGAACCCCATTTGGGAAACGCTGCTCTATTATATAGTATTTTTATGTCGATAAACATTATGCAATTGATCAGGATTTTATCTTTCTTTATTTTTGTTTAGTCACAGTTTTTGCAAAATGTGCACGCAATGATGTAGAGAACTACGGCTCAGCTCGTAGAGAATTTCTAGAAACAGAAAATGATTCTCCGGGTACATCAGATTAGTCATTGAGCGTTCTATTTTCCAAAATTCACTCTGCATCGGGCGCCAGAGGATCCAAAAGTGGAAGAAATTTGTGCTTTGGACTTAGAAATTATTCATATATTTATTAACAGCGTGTTGTCAGGCGCCATTTGGTCACGAGTTATTCGGGTACAGTTTAACTATGTAGATGTGATTGTTACTATAAATGAGTCATTGCGATTACTAGACATCGTGATTTTGTATTTTAATGTTAACTGCCATTAAATTATGAATTCGCATTGAAAAAGGAGTCGTTTATATTAACAATTTAACACTTTCGTCAATTGTCGAAAAAGACTATCGACATTACAACTTATGCGCAGTCCAACACAACTGCATCTAGTTTATAGTGTGTGATTGACTAGAAAGTTTTCATTACCCGAGTTAGAGAAACTCTACACTGAATTGCTATTTAATAAAATATCATTGGTCAAAATGAACGATGACTACCTTTCCATCTCAATAAAAAGAAGAAAGCATCTTAACGAGCAAACTTTTACGAAATATGATTTTATTTTCGATTATAGACGTTTTGATTAAAGACAAAACTGGAATTTTCTCTACTTTGTCAGTCTGTTGTGTTTGTTTATTGTTTTGTTTTAATAACATTTATTTTCAGATGGCTGAGCAACAATCGCAACGAAAACAATTGATTTATTCCATATTAAAGTTTTTGGATCATGAAATTCGAACTGAAACAACAAATGCCGAAAGACGAGAAAGCATCGAAGGTTCGAATTCTTGACATACGTCAGATTTCTGTAAATGTAATAACGTCTGTTTTTTAGTTGCTGCTCAATGCCTTGAAACAGCCTACGATGTAACGTTAAATAATCCGGAAGGTGACAGAGTTTACGGTCCATCGTTGGATTTATTATCGTTAATGTCAGTACCAACATCGTCGACATTCTTCACTTCATCCGGGTCATCTCAAACAAATGAAGGACTCTCTTCGATTCCATTAACAGACGATATGCGTCAACAAGCTGACAAATTCAAAAATGAAGGTAAATATAACTTTTTTTATGTAATGAAAAAAAGTGTTATTCATGTTTCTATTTTGAAGGAAATGAATTAGTTAGACAAGACAAATTTAAAGAAGCATTGAATGCCTACAATGCTGCGATTAAAATTGACGGGAATAATGCTATATATTATTGTAATCGGTAGGACGCAAGTATTGAAAATTTTCAGTTCGATATTTTGTTTTTCTTCTTATTCTCTTTTAAGAGCAGCAGCACATAATAAATTGGGAAATAATGATCAAGCTATAGCTGATTGTCATCGCTCAATATCAATTGATCCAAATTATAGTAAAGCGTACGGACGCCTTGGGTAAGAGAAATTAGTTTCATAAAAGGGATATTGGCCGTATATCATAGCCTATTTTCTGTCTTTGAATTTGTTACCCTTTGCTATACTCTGTTTGATATTCCTAATTAGTAGACTATTTCCTATGTCTAGTTCTTTTCAAAAAGTAATTTGTACAATCCTGTTACTTTCTGTTTTATTTTATTGTTGTTTATGTCTAATGGTTCCTTTGTATTTTCAGAGTTATTTATTTATCTATGGATAAAGTGCATGAGGCGTACGATGCATATAAACAAGCATTAGTATTGGAGCCAACAAATGATAATTATAAACAATCAATTAGATTATGTGAAGGTCGAATGGGCGCACCTCATGCAAATAATACAGGACCTGCTGGTGCTGCAGTAAGTAGAACAAAATTTCGAATTCAGAAAAGAGAAATCGACATGAGATGCTTTGAGATTATGCAAATTAAGATTGAAAAGTAAAATAATTCATTATAGGTAGTTTGTAAAGTATTTTTAATCCTATTTACCTGTGTATTTTCGAACAAACTGTACACTGCATCTTTTTAATTCTAAATTCATTTATTTATGGTTACTCTCTCTATTCCTTCACTGAAGCTTTAATCTTTATTTTCAACTGATGTCCATACCATTCATCCGTCGGCAGCATTTATGCTGTCTAATCGTTCAAAAGAGTAAGATATTTTCATTAGTATAATCTCATTTTTGATCAGGGCAATTACGAAGATTTAGTCGCAATCACTCTTGTTAAACTCTTTGTCTTTATTCTTATTTAGGGTGGAATTCCTGGTATGCCACCTGGTATGGGATCAATGTTTGGGCAGATGATGGGTGGTTTAGGTGGTGGGCAAGGTACTCCTGATATGATGTCATTATTCAATAATCCTTCCTTAATGAATATGGTTAGCATTTTTCAATAAACTAAACCTTAGTCCTCTCTTCTCTTTCTTTTTATCTAGGCTATGCAATTTGTTCAGAATCCACAAGTGCAAGGCTTGTTCGTATCTTTTTCTTTCTTTGATTGTTTTTAACACATGCTTTTCTAGAATGGCCAACTTGGTAACGAATCTCGGTACACAACAAGGCGGAGACGTCGGATTCGATACATTACTACAAACGTATGTATTATGGATTAGATTATTTTATCTAATAAAAAAGCCTATTTTTTTCGTGTATCTAGTGGTCAGCGTATGGCTAGCGAAATGTCGGCAAATAATCCAGACTTAATTGAATCAATTCGTCGAAATATGGAAAATAGACCTGGTAATGCTAACAATGCCGGCTCTAATAATAATAATCCTTCTGGTGATCAAACTTCAGATGATCAAAACAAACCATCCTCATGAGGTTCAAAACATATTCAATCCACCTGTGTAGTTTTTTTCTTGTTCTTGTTCATTTCTAAAACATGTTAATTTTGAGCTTGATTTTAAAAGTAAAAGCAAGCAAAACATTGTTGTTCATTCCCTTCTTACGATTAATCAAATCTTTGAATTACTATGTGCTCGGTAGTGTATTTTCTTCTCTTTTGCACTCTTCGTACACATTTGATCTTAATTCGTTTCTCGTGTCACTTGGTTGTTTTCATTTTTTGTTGAACTTATTTAAAGTATAAAATATTGACGCGTTGCACATGCAGTTAACTTCATTGCTTTGCGTTTTTTATCTTAAAATGCAAGCAAATAACAGTTGCCAACCGATAGATTGACTTTTCTCTTAAATGATGTCTACTTTTTTATCACATTTTTTGTCGATTTTCATTGTTTTCAGAAATGTTTTCCATTCTATGTCATACTCGTAATACCGCACATTTTGTCAGCATCTTTTGCTAAGTGTGTATAAACGTTCTCAGCTCATTTAATGTTCTATGAGGTTCTGATCATCCAAGACGGACTTCGTGTTGGTAGTAATGAATATATTACTGTTGAGCCTGGATCCTGCAGAATAAAAAAGCTCTCATTTTTCTGGGCTATTTTGAACAATCTGATGAGCACAACGTGTATGTTTGGCGGCAACAGATAATAGTTACTGAGAGACACCCATATGGAACATTCAGTTTCACATACAATTGCCGATTTTTGTTAAGAAAGATACTCATTAGTATTACAGAAATCTCTGTTGAAGAATCAACTCACTCGAATCATGGATAGTCGTGGCGTTGAACATAACAATTGAATCAAATTTGACTACCTAGAACAGAAAGGCTAAAGGAAATGGTGAAAAGCAAAGTTGACTCTAAATTGAACGAGATATAGTACTGACTTACATCTGGTAGCAGGTAACTAAACATTCATCATGTGTTTTCGAGAGCCACTCGAGTAAATGAGTTTTGTACTAGTTGCGTACACATACAGGCGTCAAAATTATTGTGTGATCATTGCTAGATAAGAGAAGTCGATGGTACCAATAATCACATGTAGATAGAATGAGACACTAATTGTGTGGTCGACAGAGATCCATGTTGATGCATACATATCTTAGTGATCAATGGTTTCTCTATGATGAGGAAATGAATCAAGACAAACAGTTATTAAAGAGATATTTAAGAAATATCAAGAAAAGAGCCTGCACCTTTCAATTTCAGTACAGAACTGAACGTATGCTGCTAGCCAAGAAGACACGTTAAAAAGACAACGCCAATACAGATATCTCTATTCGTTGGTGGTTTTGTGCTTTCTATCTATGGTCTTAGTAAAACAAATGAGATCACGCGTCCGTAAAGAGCGATTTGACATCGCTACAGCGTTGGTCATTAACATGCTGCTGGCTGTTGGCACTAATTAAGATTGGAACGACGTCGACGTCTGTTTTTTTTTCAACTTGTCTTTTCCACTGTGGCACAGTAAAAAGACATCTTCAATATATGAGCTGATGTGCTCACAGAATCGAGACATCAAGATGTCTGAATCTCCGTAAGGCAGTTAAGACTTACATGAAACAACAAAGTCCTACATGTCATTTTTTTTTAAACATTTTTTATTCACAAAATAATAGTAAAAAAAGTACGACAACAAGAAAAGAAACACATACGGCAAATTGGGATACTCATTCTATGCCGGATTCTACATGAACACTATAGAACAAAATGAGTATATAGAGACGAGAGATTGTAGTAGTGTTGGTGAAGAGAGAGAGAGAAATAGGAATCGACTTCTAAGACCCGCTCTATCCATGTGACGTCCTGCTCATGGAGGCTTAGTACATCATGACTGATTGAATCTTCCGGTGGTATCAATAAATTGGATGATGGCTGTGTACACTCGTATTAGATCCTACTTAGGCAGTACTTAGATAGATTCATGTTTCAAAAGTATATGCTCCAACGTAATATGATTATCTTTAAGGACAATACACAGCTTCTCAAGCATTAGATTACAAGGCTTGTCATAAAGAGCACAGTCCATGAACATGAAGTGTTTAGTAGTCTCTCTGGTGAAGCCACATGTACACACCAGTGACTTTTCTAATCCACCTCTGATATATGTCATTTCTATCGGTTGTGTTCCTAATTTTTTTCCTTAAAAGATGACCATATTGCTTGGGTCAGTTCGGAGACAAAACGGCTAAGTGAGACAACAAAATATTAGGGCTCAATCCAAGATATGAAATATTGAGCTCTCGCTCTAGATGATGGACTGAATTAAAGAGAGGATACTTCAAATTATAAAATTACATCTTTTTTTGAAAATTTGAATTGAAAAATTTTTTTTTGGGATTCTTTCGGATCAAGGAAAAAAATACTGCGGGTCGCGTCGCAAAACGTTTGCGTCAGGATGCGTTCGGGTCAAATGAATTTGACTCGATTCAGTCTCTGATTTACCATCTGTGCTCACATTATTTTACTGGCTCAATAAATCAAAAAATCAGTAGAGATTCTCAAAGAATAAAGAGCAAATAAGAAGAATCACCGGGCGCTGCTGAAACATTTTTAATTATGTCAATGTGAAATGAGTATAGTCAATCAATTAAGTGAAAAACTAACTGCACGATCAACGATATTTGTCCAATAAATTTGTTAGCTTTCATGACAATTGATATGAATATGACAATTGATCATCGAACTGATTTTAGATAAATCGTGGGAATTGTTAATCGGGCTTTTAATTGTGAAAAAACAGTTAGTTAACAAGCGCCATTTATTGTCTTTCATCTGACTGTTGATGATGGCCTAAAAACAAGCAAGTAATTGTGCGTCAGTAAGGCTCAGATTTGGATAACCATTAAATGGCATTTTATTGCCCGTTTTATGACTCTCGCTTCACCTGGACTGACAATGATCTGGGCTGCATGGGCATTTATTTTTAAATGTACAGAAAAATTTAACTACAAAAATCCGAGGATGGACAGCTGATGACGTCCCTGTTGTACGTGTGCAGATATCTGCACCTTTTGGACGATGTAAACAATAGACTGGTCTGTGACTGCTTGTTAGCATCGACAGCGCAGTAAGCAACAAGCAGCATGCACAAAGCATTGAGTTTGGATGCAGCGTAGGTAGCTGTTCGGATCCTTGGGTTGTCAGAAGTGAAAATTGGTGGTGCTGTACACAGGTGTATGAACTGTTGGTGTTAAGTAAGCTGTACTTTAAAACGGATAGGCCGTGGCTATGCAATAAGTGACCATTAGGGGATTTATTGAGGGATCGATGTGTCAGTTAGTAGGTGAAGGTTTGATAGGCGAATTGCTTTGGAAGTAATATACTCGAAACAAAATCATTTGAATTGTATGTAAGTATTGAGCGGAAAGTTTGTTCTCTTGCAACTGAGTGACAAGAACGAAAATTTTAGAAATGAAATACTTTGATGTTAATTACACACTCAAATTGGCAAAGAATGAGTGAACGAAAATCTTGTTCCCTAGAAGAAATGAGGAAGAATCCCTCACGAGCCTCAGTGGGTCCACCGCCTCTGCAATATTTTAAAACCTTTTATAGCCAACTTTCAGCGATTCAACTGAAAAATTATTGGGAGGGACTTTCTACCTCGGTATTCAAATACAATAGAGACAAAACATTGTTTGATTTTATTTATTACTTTCCGAAAACGAACAAAATGTAGAAAAACAAAAGACAAGAAAAACACTACAAAAAATTAGTTTTAAAAATCGCCATCCCCACAACCTCCCTGTCCAACATCATCTAAAATTCATATTCAATGATTAATTATAATTATTCCCGAAATTTAGCCAGAGAAAACTTACCTATTTAAGAGTGCCAGTCTGGATATTTGGTATTTTTTAGTAACACACATTCGCTGTATCAACAATGTAAAGCATACATACCTATCTGCTGTTGTTTTTTCTGACTTTCTTGTCGCCGTTCTTGTTGCGCTCGTTGTTCTTGAATTTGTTTTTGTTGTTGTTCCACTTTTGATTCCAGGTGAAAAATTCCAGGTCTAAACAGTACAACAGAATATATCCTATATTTTTCTTCAAAAACTATAACAACGTCTTATCTTTATTCTTAGAAGTGTTAGAAGGTCAGATTACTATAGTTTGAGACCAAATAAGAACCAGTTTGAGACCAGTTAAGAACCCAAACCGTTCTTAATGAGGCATGATTGTAGACCGCAAATTGCTGATTAAAATAAGACATCTCCCACCTCTACACGACGACCTGTCTTTGCAAAATTATAGAATTTACAAGAAAAGCCCTTGTCATTGTCAGCTCAAAGCTGCCGAAATAAGAAGAAATTAATTTAGGGCTTTTCTTGTAAATTCTATAACTTTGCAAAGAAAGATCGTGTATAGATGGGGGATGTCTTATTTTAATCAGCAATTTGCGGTCTACAATCATGCCGCATTAAGAACGGTTTCGGTTATTTTTTGAAAGTTTCTGAAAAACTAGTTTTTCAGAAAACCGGATCTTAAAGAGTCATTGGCCCGAATTTACTATCTCATTGAGGTCTATCGATCCATGTACAAGTCATTGAAATCGGAAGTGGGCATCTCAGGAGGTTCTCTCGTCAATCAAATGCTTCACTATGATTAAGTTTTCGATGTTACACAAAACCCTTTTCACGCGACATCCAGAATAGAATATTCAATCGCGTGTTTTTGATAGATATCGCACTTATTCGAGTCTCCACTTAAAGTTGGAATGTGAAATATAATTTTTGCCAAAGTAGAGTAGAAGATTAGCAATGTACTCGATAGATGCAATGATTTTAGATTCTAAATCAAATTCAATCCTTTTTCAAAAAGTGCTTTTTCTGCTTTTCTATACTCACAGTTATTTTTCTCTTTTATTGGCGATCCGTGTAAGCATTTTAAGATCTTTACTCATTCTAAATTAATTGAGTAGATTGAGTAGACATTAATGGATAAAATGAGAAATGATTATGGAAATAGTACGATTTAGTGAGTCAAAATGCCGTTAGCGGTATTTTTCCTACTCCTAAGTGATTTAACTCAATTCAATGCATTTTTTCAGTTAGAAAGCTAAGAACTAAATCTAAAAATCGCTTCATGCGGCATCGAAATTTTGTTTTTATTTCACAGAAAAGTAATGTCATTGACAAATAAACTTCTTCAGATTCTCAACTTAAAATGAATGCCAAAAAGTAATGGAGATGAAATTCAAAAATCATCTGTTATGCTATCAAACTGTTACATTCATTTGAAATCAGCCCAAGCTCCAAATCTCTTTTCGTAAAAACACTCTAGAAATATTGTCAAAAGCCCTTCTTGCAATACATATCAACAAGTCAATATTTCGCGCTGAAATATATACTTATCGATTTAAAAATCTACATCTAAAAGTTTGTTCGTCAAATGTAGATAATTTTTTCTGAGGGATGATGTCTTCCTTAATACAGTAATAAAGTGAACTTAGAACATCATTTGACAGACTATGAACGTTTTATACTGATATACATACTTTTATTGAACACCTCACAGTCCAAAACCAAATAGAAGAATAGGCATACAAAATTTTCTTTCTTTCTTGTCATTTTGAACACATCTATATAAGTACATTCATTTTATTATGATGCATCTTGTGAAAACTCTCAGTTTCTCTATTGTACAAAGAAAAGTGACACACAAATAGAAGCATTTAGCTCGAAGTTTTTATGTAGAAAAAATGTTTTTTTTATTCTGTCAACACATGTAAATATCATGTGAACTTATTGAATCGATACATTTTATTGGTGTTGAACATGTTTCACGCACTTTTGATTCAAAATATGTTGACATATCATTTTTTATCTGTTGTTGCTGATTAGTTGTGGATGATTCCCATTCAACGATTGCTCTCTAAATTATTCAAAATATTTTTAGATTACTCTAAATATGTTCCATTAACCTACTTTATCATCGTCCATAACTAATTGATGGTCTATCACATCCGTGCTGCCTTCCGGTAATAGTTGTGAATTTTCAGATATTCGTGATAAATTGTCTGAATTTATTTCTAATTGAATCTCTCTACCAGGTTTTAATAGATATCTAGAAGAAAATAATTCGTTTTTCATGTATTCACTAATAATCATTCACTCTTACATAACATCTCCAGCTTGTAAGGTTAGTTCATCGGGTGGATTCATGAGAACAAACGCAAATTTTTCATTATCAATAGGTTTTTGTTCTAGTAAAGAAATATAATATGTTTTTGATCAAACATTTCACAAAATATACAATATATACCATAGTTTTGTGTGATACCAAGTTGAACCATTCGTCGTCTAACCATACGCATTATTTCATTTCGTGTCTAAAAATACATGTTTTATAACTAATTTGATTTTATATAACACAAGAATACCCACTGATTCATGTCTTTTTCTATAATTTGGCAAACGTGCTATGTAATCATCTTGCTTAAATGAAGAGGAAAAAAACCACTTAAAAATCTTCTATGTTGGAATTAGTTCATTTTTCTACCTGTTCTATACTCTGATTCGATGATGTTGTATTCTGAAACAACGAAGAAACTTTATACTTTTTGAAAATAGAATTGATTGTTGTCACTATTTACATTTGTATATACTTTTTGCATTGTTCGATAAATACCGATAGGTATTTCACCTGTTGATGCACACAATTTTCGATAGAGACTTCCGTAGTTTTTGAGCCACATATCATCCTCAGTGAGTGGAATCTAAATGTAACTAAGTTATTTTTTTTAGCCATCAGAATGTTATAATACATTTACTGATGATAAGTTCCCTGATCCATTGGCTTGATCTAATCCCAATAGTAGTCGAACAAATTCAATAAGATAATCTTTTCGGAATGTCTGATAAAGTAGTGTGTCAGTCATGCTTGCAGAAAATACATTGCCAGAAGCAAATGGTAATCGAAAGATGTAGGACATAGTTGAGCCTTTTGCTTGTTCTTCTTTTTCATTTTGTGCCATACTAAGTGCATATGTATCTTTGGCACGAAATTTTAAGAAACGCATATTTGTCGTTTTACTTAATTCAGCAACAACAGTTTTATCAGGAAAAATTCTAGAATAAAATTTTGTTTAATTTAAAAATTTGTTTATCTTACAAGTATATAAAACAAAGTCAATCTCACCTGAACATTGACTGGACGGCAACGATCGTTGAGCAATCACTTAATGATTCTTCATCAGTAAGTACATTATTTTCTTTATTAACAACTACTACAGTTTCTGCTTCGAGAATTCCGGCTTTTAGCAACGTATCAACACTTAAATCACAAAATATGAGTTAAGATTATTTAGAAATATTTAGAATAATTATTAAATTACTTTGTAATTGATCCTTGAATCCAATAGACTAAAGGAAAGCAATTAACTGTTTCCAAAAATTCATTTGTTGGTCTAAAATTGAAAAATATACACTACCATATTAGTTAATATTTGTTTTGTATTGCTTGTTGTTCACACACGAAAAAAATGTCTTACATTGCTCAAACCTTTCTTCCAGAAGCAGGACGATGGGTTTCAGAAACATTTTTGTTCTCATATGAGATCGTAATGGTAATATAAAATTGAATAAACCAGAGGTAGCTTGACTTGCAAATACAATTATACAACTATTTGACCAATGATAATCAGATGCTTGACTATATTCTCCATGTTCACACGACTAGAAACCAAAAAAGAACACTATAGATCAATTTTATACTAAAATAGGAATGAAAAAACAAATTAATAGTTACTCGAATTAATTGCAGACAACATAAGGGCATTGGTTTCCTTAGCATCATGCATAATGCAGGAAAACTTCCAATATAAGGAGGATTTTGTGGAAAACCAACAATCAGACTAGAAACAAATTCATAAATTAAAGATATGGGTAATAATATTGTTAAAAAGTGTTTACTCTAAATCTTGATTATCAGTCGATCTTAACGGAAATGATTTGACGTTTAATAAATTTCGTTTTTCTTCTTCAAATGTACGTTGTTTATAATTATCGTTTGTATTCTGTATAAAAATTAAATAGTATGTAGAAGATATGATTCTAATTTATTAATTTTAATCCATACCAATCCTTTTAAGGTTGCTAATCGACGGAGTGCTAGTTCGGGTCCATTTGGTCTTAGAGAATTGCATAACTCTTCAACTGTCGCTAAAAATCAATAAAAATAAAATAGATAATAATTTTAAACATTCAAGAAGGAATAAACTAACGTAGTGCAAATGTTTTTTTTGTTGTCATATTTGACCAATCAAAATTTTCTTCTTTAATAATACTCATATAAAAACATGTATCCGTCTCTTTTAGTATATAATCACTGCCTGGATTTAACATGATAGTTGTATTGGATCGATCTTCTTGCACAGCAACCAAACAAATTCCATATCTGTGAGAAATATTTACATATACATAGACGTATAAAGTCAATTATTCATTTGTTCGTTCATCACTTACTTTCTATGACAATTAAGCGATACTTGAACAAATGGTCGTCCCACATATGAACTAAAAAATTTACTATGTTTCACTTTTATCGAATAAATTTGATTGCCTGATAATCGTCCATAAAGTTTTTGCCACGATTCTTTAGCATCTTGTCCTTCTCGACCACGTAATGATGTGTGAAGTAAGAGTGTTACAAATGTCGATATTCCAGGACATAAACAATTATTTGCTAATAATGCATATTTGAGTTCATCTTCACAGACAATATGTTCTAAAATAAAGAGAACATAAAAATCCCATTTTGAAGCTTTACTAATGTCGAGGGCAAAACACCATGCACTTGGTTGTTTTCTTAATAAGTTTTGACAGAAATGAGATAGAGACTTGCGGTTTTCAGATTCTAAAACAATAGCCAAAATATTTCTCTTCAAAACTACGCAAGGCCTAGGTCTCCATCTCCTTTAATTCCGGAGATACAGACGTTCTCCAAAGACACACCTGTCTCGTTCCAGACACATCTGGTAATCTCAGAAACATGTGGATCATAGGTAATCGACCACACTGATCATGGTAGTGATGCTTGTTCCATTCCCCGCTCAACCACAACTTCACAAAAGCCAATTTCACAAAAGCCCGGTTTTTCGCCTGTTGCCGGCAAAAATTAAAAATCGTATATTTCACTCATTTCTCGTCCAAAAGACTCAAATTTTCAGAAAATGATTAACAGAGGCCAAAGAATGCGGAAATAGTCAAAAAAATCGGATCTGAATTTTGGTTCTATGAGAGGTTTTCCAGAGATCTGCTAAAAAATCGTATGCATAAACTAGAAACTTTATGTAATTTTTTCGACTCAATCTACATTCTATGTCCTATTTCGAGAATATCCTGAAAATTTGAGTCTTTTGGACGAGAAATGAGTGAAATATACGATTTTTAATTTTTGCCGGCAACAGGCGAAAAACCGGGCTTTTGTGAAGTTGTGGTTGAGCGGGGAATGAAACAAGCATCACTACCGTGATCAGTGTGGTCGATTACCTATGATCCACATGTTTCTGAGATTACCAGATGTGTCTAGAACGAGATAGGTGTGTCTTTGGAAAACGTCTGTATCTCCGGAATTAAAGGAGATGGAGACCTAGGCCTTGCGTAGTTTTGAAGAGAAATATTTTGGCTATCGGGTGGTATTATTTGAGATTGGATTTCATAGTGTTGTTTTGAAGCGGTAAGCTTTCCTCGAATGGTACACCATGGTATATCTGATCGGGAGCCCTGATTTTCTCATAGGTTTACGTCACAAAGTGTGTTGTTTCAGAATCGCAAGTCTCTATCTCATTTCTGTCAAAAGTTATTAAGAGAACAACCAAGTGCACGGTGTTCTGGCACCCATAATAATATTATCATTATTATTCACCAGCAAATTTCACATGAATTTTATTTTCTGGACGAAATATTTGAACATATTGAGGTACGTATGGAGCAAAATCTTTTACAGCCCACGAACGCAAAATTGAATGTTGATCTGCCATAATTTTATTTGTATGAGTTCGTGTTTCCAAAATAAATACAGCGCGAGATCGATCAACACTAAACACACGTAAAAAATTATTTTTTCATCTCATTTTCTTACTATTAATAGAATACTCACCGAGCACGAATCAAATCATATGTTCTTAATGCCGAACCTTGCATATAAATTACTCGTTGTTTCCAAAGCGCTGTTAAGAGAATTGAACGAAGTTGAACATCTGGTTCTGCTGGAGATATTAAGATGACATGATATGTTTGATGTAGACGATGAGAATAAAATTCATTTAAAAAATCCATTATTTGATCATGATTTAAACTTGTTGTACAAACTACGACGTGTTTATCATGCGCTGCACGATGACGATTATAGGTGCCACCGTATTTTTGTCTTTCAAACCAAAACGATGCCATTTGTTCTAGTTGTGTTGGTATCAATATGAGTGCAGCAACAATCATAATTGTCATAAATAACTTTGAAGGCCATCTAAAAGTTGTTAGAAATAGATACAGTCTAAAAATATGGCATCAATCAGTGATTGCAAACATCTACTTAGTATAAAAGCCGACGCATTCTTCTACTTTATTATTGCACTTATTTTTCACTTTGCTTTTTAATTTAATCAAGCGTTATGAAATAAATTCTAGTATCTTATTTTATATAAATTTACATATTCTCAAAATTATAAATATACTGAAATTCAGCCTCGAGAAATAAAGACTTTTTTCTGACAAAATCATTCTTTTAAATTTCAAATGATAGCTTACATATCGGGTACAATGTCACCATAACCCACTGTTGAGGTAGATATAATAACATAATAAAATGTATCAAAAACACCGTAGAAATGACCACCACGTTGTAGTTGTTGAAAACCGCACATAGCCGTAAATAATAGAGAAAATACGGTCATAGCAAGTGATGATAACTGTTGAACAAGAATTGATCTTGAAAAATCTTGTATTTGATTTAAATCATTTAGTAAACCTTCTAAATTACGTTTCATTAACCAAGCATTAAAAAATACTGGAATAAACAATGCTCGAAATGGTTTATAAGCAAGTGTAGTTAACCATGGTATTGTTGCAATTAACTCAACAAACATGTATTTAGTAAGAACATGCGTTAAACGCTGACCCTAAATTATTATTCAACTTAAAGTAAACAAAAGAACATGTTTTCTTTTGAACATTCATAAATAAATTACCTTTTGTTGTAGATAAATCATCAATAATGTTTCGAATAGACTAATACTAGCCAATATAACTTGCATTAACCAAATAAGAAATGATCGATCTACACATACAATTGCCGTCCTAAAAAACATAAAAATCAATTTTAATCTAATACAGATTTTCAAATTAAAAGAAATAACTGACCAATCGATAGTGGATGTATCATTTAAGAATGTTGTTCTATTTTTAAAACTATGTGCATTATCACGAAGAAAACTAAAAAATAAAATTTTTAGCTATATTTCAAACAATTAAGTGACATATATATCGTGACATATAGCAAAGATTTTTTTATAAATCATAACATCACTCAGTGATATAAAAGTTCTAAAAATTTGTTTGTAAATAAAAATGTCAGTATCATTTCTTCTAGTCAAATTATATGGATTAAAGTGAAGATTATCTCATTTTGATGAGTGAAGAAAAGTTTTTTTTATTAAAGATGTTTTCTCTCTTACCAACTACTTTTGAATGGTGGAGTGTCGTTTGCTGCCCGATAAATGTATAATACACATGTAATAAATTTTAACAAAATATTGAAACAACGAATTAGTAGTGCTAGAATAAAAAAAAAATATTTCATTATTTATCTATAACTAATTGATCATTTCTTCTTACATGATTTATGATCTTTCGTAAATATAATTTCTAAATGTTCTCGAAAAGTTCGATCCGTTACATGTCGTGTTTTTAACCTAGTAATAAACAAAAAAAGAAACAAAAAAACATAAATAATTGTTTTTTTCATTTAAATTGAAATAAATTTGATATTAAATTATAACACACCATTGTCTCCATTTATATTCGAAAGTATTTGATTTTAATTTATCATTAAAAAAGATTGATTGTGATTCAACAATATTATAATCGAATATTTGTTGATGTTGATCATAATATTCATTCATTTGTATTACTATCCAAAAGAATTTTTACAAAAGTCTAATATAATTGTAAGAAATTTTCAAGAGTAAAAAAATCTCCTAATTGACACCATTTCCATAAACAAGTTATGTCAATGCATTATTAATAAAATAAATTATTTCCTCTATGGCACACATTCTTTATTCTTCTTCACAATCAGAAGCAAAATGGTCCGATGCCAAGCATGTAAAAAGTGGTCATATCTTCTTCTATTATAATTGTGTTAAAGTATTCTGTGTGTGTGTCGAAGAACATTTTTTTGTTATTTTTTTATCTTTTTTTCTTTTCTAGGAAAAAATTAGGTTATGTGAATGATAAAATTGATGAACAATTTACTTTACTCGATTCTTTGAACAGTACACGAATAATAAAAATGAAAATAGAAAATATATCAATGTAAGATCCGCATCATCTTTTCTATTATTGGCCTTTTTTGTTAATTTCCTTTTTCTGTCGAATCCGCTTTTACATGATTATATGACTGAAAGAAGTTTTTCTGATCGAAGAAAAATAAAAAGGTTTATTTTCTGACAACCACATGACATATGTAAATATTTAGTTCAAAAATAAAAGTCTTGAAAACATAAATACTCTTCAAGTTAATAAGAGATCAAGATCGTTATTAAACGGATTGAGACAGCATGCCTTGGTGGTCATGTTGTTCGTCATGTGCTTCAATCATGGCATCGTCAAGTCATGAAATAACATTGGACAAATTACTTATGCCTTGATACCTCACATCAACCGTATGACAATATACAATACAATTCCTCCGATCAGTCTTCGTGACTATTCGAACGTGATTACTAAGTGTGTATGATGAACTCAAGCACTTGGGTTAAAAGAACTCTGCATTGGGCCAGTCTCTCAGGCAGAGCTGCAGATTAGGCATACTGAGAGAAATTTCTTTCATCTTTTTGTATTGTAGTGTTAAGTAGTACTACATAAGAACGACAGAATTAAAAGATTTGAAAAATATCTCCCGGTGCACTGAACAATTTAAATCGGCAGTATTTTGAAAGACATGAATCTATAATAATCGAGTACCAGAGCTAGAACCGGACCGGTAGAGACCGGTATTTCATCGTTTGAAACTTTTGAAACATCTGCTCTTTTTACCCTGTTTTTTTGTTAATAAATTAAAATTTCACATCTTTTTCAGTCAAAATAAATAAGACGATGCTCAAGACATATTATTTTCATCAATTGTTTTAAGGTTAAATGTTACAGACTCGTTATTGTGAAGGTTCTTTCACATGTACTCGCAAACTATTTTATTTCTGGGAGAAATTCTTTCTGAAAATCGATTTTCAAAAAACTTCGCCAGTTTTTCACTGGTTTGAGTTATAATTCCAACCGTCCAATTTAACGGCCGTACTAGTCTCGTTACACTTTCAGATTGGCCGGGCTGGTCCGGTTTACCGTTTCTCAACCGGTTCCAGCTATGTCGAGTACACTAATTGGTGACGATAATATGAATTCTTCATAATCTATACCTTAGAGTTTGATGTGAGAATTTAATCTATAGAAATTATATAGAAATCTGCTAATTGTGAACTGAAGAGTCCTATGTAGTTCTTGTTTGTCTATAAAATAAGAACTCTCCATTAAAAATTCGTTTTGTGTACACTTAAATATTTATAGTTTCTTACGATCTGTTAGATGTGTTAACTTTTAAGATTAATGCATGTCATGCAACCAACAGTTGATGCTGATTTATTATGACAAAATAATTTTATTTATTCATAAATAAAAATTGGTAATTAGTCTTTTTCTTAAAAAACATTTTCAAGAATGACAATAGCTCACTTACTTAATCCAATTCTTATTGTTTGAAAACTTTTCATTATTATCATCGTGATCAGATAACTTATTATTAACCATGTGTGTCAAAAAAACGATAATTCGTATCAACGATAATCTCTTCACTCTTGGGATGACAATGATAAAAGAAAAAAATTGTAATTTTTTTTTCTTGATTGTTACTGTTGTTCTCGGTGGCTCATTTTTCTGTTGAAGGTTATGTTCGTGGCATATGTCGCTATTTTTTGTTGATAGACACAATATGTGTGTGTGAAACAATATCTATCTACTTAATAGACTAGATCTTGTCTGTTTATCGGAAGCAATTGAGTTATTATTATTTACTTTATCGAAATGAGAATGCCTACTCTTTATTCAAGAATATAGATCGGAATAATATTTCTTGTTCTTAGAAAAAAAATAAGAAATTGTATTTCTTGTCAATACAACGGAAATAAAAATGAATCTGTAGTCTTTTTTTCAATTTTTTTTCTCTTAATAGGATTATAAAATACTTTAGTTGAAAATAATGTTCATTTAGAAGTTCTTCCACTAGAAATATCCTGTACTTCTCGTTGAAACCTAAACAATAGGAAATGAATATTGGCATTGGAATTTATATATTATTGCTAAAACACTCCAGATAACTAATATAAATAACTACGAAGACAGATTTGTTACGATTTGAAGAGAAAAGTAGGAAAAGGTCATATCATACGATATAATCAGATCCTATAAGTTCTCAATAACAGAACTCAACTATATCGAGAATTTAGTTATATATTCTAGAAAGTCAAAAGAAAAGATTATATTAAAAATTAAAATAAGACTTTAGTATTGTCGTTTTCAATTAGACTAACTTAAATAAAAACTTTTTTTTTGCCTCTTTCATGTCAGATAAGTATCTTAGTTCTTATTCTTGAAAATCTCACATGTGACAATTATCCAGCGGTAATAATGATTAATAATTATAAGTAGTAGAAAAATCCATCATTAAGTGTAGATAATAAAAGTCAGAAGAGAATTTAAGACACAGTGGTGTTTATTTAACAGCTGTTATCTGCAGGAGCAACACCATGGAGAGTTTATAATTTTCTATCTTGCTTTTGTGGAAAGAGCACCTGTTTTATTGATATACGTTGGTGCGATATGTGTTGAGGTTGAAATTAGCTAACAGATGTATTAATAACATAATTATTTATAACTGAGTAAAATAAATTCTCAGTCTTGACCATAATTCCTAACTCTAATTCTTCACAAGCATATTTGACTGATACACAAGGGGGAAAAGGCGGCTCCGGGATGCTCGAGATGCTCAGCATCCGATGCTGATGCAATGCTCTCCGATGCTAAGAAAGAAAAAAGTCGCTTGTTTTTCCTTGTAATTACAGCTTGAATGATGTTAGCGTATCGTTTCGTTCAATACTTATATCTTTTTCATACCATTAACGGTACTCTCCCTTTTTTTTCATCTCGTTGGTAAAGATGGAAGCAAAGGTTCGATTGAGACTAAATTTCTACCAGGGGTGGAACATCGCCCAGAAACTAACTATTAGTTTATTGCACGATTGTATCTGATCAGTTCTTGACATTATCATGTATCGTTAGAATATCGTTGTTCGCTCAAATTTTAGTGAACATTCGTTTCGCTTAGAATCACAGAATATATGGATAGTTTCTAATTTTCTGACATGTTCTTCCATGTGTTCCAATAAACTCGATTCTCATCCAGTCACATAACGATCGAATCGAAAATTTTACCACAGATACTTCAGACCCTATCTCAGGATCTAAATTCTTTTTTGGAAAATATTCTTTCCTTCTCAAGATATACGAAAAATGGTAACAACTCTATGAAAAAGTTGAACTTTTTAGAAGATTTCCAGCATTTTTTCGTATATCTCGAGAAGGAAAGAATATTTTCCAAAAAAGAATTTAGATCCTAAGATAGGGTCTGAAGTATCTGTGGTAAAAATTTCGAATCGATCGGAACTAGTTTTCATCCTTGCTAAGAGAGTGAAAAAAGAGAGGAGAATCCTTGAAAGACGGTGAAATGGTTGCCGCATTAGACTCTAAATTTGTTAAGTAATGTCAACTTAATTATGCTTTAAGTGTAAGGAAAGGTCAATTCAATGAACATTAATATTCTGTCATCCTGTTTCAATTTAATTAAGTCAATATTCATTTAATCTGCAAATAGTAAAAACAATTACTTACTGAATCTCACCATTTTCTGTTTGTATACAAATATCGGCTAAATATCTTTCACCACCATCAAATTGACTATCCGTAGACTGCGTTCGATGATGATGATAAGTCGATCTTTGATGACGAAATATTATCGACATTAAATATACTCTGCACAATTTTAGATAGTAAGAAATTATTCTGAAAGAACAAAAGAGAGAATACAACAATCTTGTTCTTTATCTTTGAAATGATGAACGAAGATATATATAGATGTAGAGACTATGTATCTATAAAAAAAATTGAAAATGACAAGCGTATGATTTATTTCATAATTTCAATGCGCTTGTCGCCTCTCGGCTAAAAGAGAAGAAAAATATGAGATTTTTTTTTTATGTCAGTCCTATACTACCTAAACATTAGCAAAGTTCTAAATGATATATTACAACAAAGAATTTTTTTTTCTAAATGTCAACGATTAATTGTTGGTTGTTGCTTTATTTATTTATACGAGGTAAAAGAAAAGGAGGCACTATTTAGATAATTAGAATAGAATAACTTATATTCGTTATAGACAACTAGAAGTTTATTACGTTTTGCTCCATCTGTTGGACGAGAGAAACAGAAGATAGCAAGAAAAAGAGATTTCTAAATAAGAGATGGAAACCAGCTGCTGAATCATAACGAAAATATAGCCTGAGACAATTATCTTGATATCGATGTTCTGCTACCATTTTAAGAGATGTTTATATACTAGAATATTTTTAGAAACTCTTTAATATGAATAACACGAGAGACAACAGATAGAAGACAAGTGATTACCATAAAAAAGTTATTCCATCGGTTCATCATCAAGATGCTAAAGAAAAGCAAAAGAAATTTTTGAAACACAAAATGAGTATAAAAGAACGAATCATGACGATGTTTTTAATGAAATGATTTTATAATATGATATATGTCTCAATGAATGACATCTATTTCATTTCAAATCATCTTCTTCATATAAATTTTACGTTAATTCAATAAATTAATCAGAGATAGTCTCTGATTCAATTCATTTTAAAATGTCATCCTCTCACGTTTACTCAAGACTTGTTTAGTATGATATCATTTTCTCTTTATTCTCTCAGTTAAGGGGGAACCCCCTCTCAGAAATGGTGATTTTCGGTCAAAAAATCGGTTTTGAGATACGCACATGGAAAGATAGCCTACAGTGTCTCCTTTCAGAATCTGTATCGCTTTTGGTTACAAAAGTGGTTTTCGCGGATTTTGAGCAAGTTTTCTCGGAGCCTCGAAAAACCGGGTCTTCAAATAATAGTTTTTTCCTGGATACTTATGCAATTAAAATTTTTCTGAACACATAGATTTGTAGAGCAAACGTTTCTGATCAAAATAAGACCTCGCACAACTCTTTATGACCTTGTATCAAAAAGTTACAGAGATTTTCCTAGAAGTCCTAAAACTGGGCATTTTATACAGCGTTTTCTCTACATAGAAGTTATACCTGAAGTGTGTCCCAAGATTTTTAATACCGGTTTGTCGTAGAGGGTTCATTCTATTTTTTTTTAAAAGAGGAAAAGAAACTACATGGAGTGAAAAGCGCCGATTTTTGAATTAGGTCCTAGTTTTTTGTCAAATAGAGGACATACTTCAGGATCCTTTTTGAACCTTGATCTCTGAAAAACTCCTGAACCGTAAGACTTGAAGACAAAAAAACTCTTTCATTCTCGTAACTCATTATGCCTAACATTTATGGAAAGTTTCGTCAAGATCGGATGTACGATGTTGAAGATAATTTCTGAGGGGGGGGGGGGGCGTAAGTAGTGGAATTGGAGGTTTTGGGGAGGGTTAACGACGCGGTAATGAAAACGCCAACT